CTACTACGAAGCCATCAACGATAGTCTGGCACGCTATACAATCCTCGCCCTTGGCTGTGCTGCCGCCGCTTATTACATCTGGCAGCTCGTCTTCTGCTTCTCTCGCCACCTTCGACGCCTGGCAAGCTTTAACGATGACCGGCAACGGTACTTCGTCTCAACACACAATACCTTTGCCTGGATCAAGGAGCATATAATCTATGCTGCATTGTTCCGCAACCGACACAACCTTGAACTCCAGCTCTCGTCAGCTATTAACATGGGCACTTTGCCTAGCCGCTTCCATGCGTTCCTTATCACCGGCGTTATCGCCATGAACGTCACGCTTTGCTGTGTGACAACTCCTTATGGAACCGAAACAGACACGCTTGCTGGTGTCATTCGTAACCGTACCGGAGTGATGGCAACGGTGAACTTGATCCCATTGATCTTGATGGCAGGCCGTAGCAACCCTCTAATTGCTATGCTCCATGTGCCTTTTGATACATGGAATCTGCTCCATCGCTGGCTCGGCCGCATCGTGGTGCTGGAGAGTCTTGCACATGTGTTTGCATGGGCTATTCCCAAAGCCCAAGCGAAAGGCTGGAAGGTTGTCGGAATGGCTCTGGGTGGCAGCAGCTTTTTGCTGACTGGCTTGGTGGCTGCTTGCGCGTTCACTGCGCTCTTGCTGCATTCGCCCTCGCCTATTCGCCATGCATTCTATGAGACATTCCTCCATTTGCACATTGCCATTACGGCAGTTTCCATGGGTTTCCTCTGGGTCCATCTCAACGGGCTGCCAGCGCAAGCCTATCTACTTGCTGCCCTCATCCTCTGGGCACTCGAGCGAGCCACCCGCTTCTTAATCATTGTGTACCGCAACTGCGGTCGTGAATCCACCACCGCAACCATCGAGGCTTTGCACGGCGACGCAATGCGCATTACCCTGCGCCTGGCCCGCCCCTGGACCTTCCGTCCGGGTCAGCACATCTACCTCTACATCCCAGCAGTGGGCTTGTGGACCTCACACCCGTTCTCCGTTGGCTGGAGTGAAACGGCAGACAGTCATTCCGACGAGAAGTCTCTCCCACTCACAAGCAAAGACATCCTCAATGCGCCCCAAAAAGAAACCATCTCTCTCCTTGTCCGCCGCCGGACCGGAATGACCGACAAGCTCTTCCAGCGCGCTTCGAACTCCTCGACCTCACAGATTACCCTCCGCGCCTTCGCCGAGGGTCCATATGGCAACATTCACACCATGGACTCATACGGTACGGTGATGCTCTTCGCCGGCGGAGTCGGCATCACCCACCACGTCCCCTTCGTCCGCCATCTGGTCGCCGGGTTCGCGAACGGCACCGTCGCCGCCCGCCGCGTCACCCTCGTCTGGATCATCCAGTCCCCCGAACACTTGGAGTGGATCCGGCCCTGGATGACCAGTATCTTGGCAATGGATCGCCGCCGTGAAGTCCTGCGCATTATGCTCTTTATTACACGGCCGCGCAACACCAAGGAGATCCAGAGCCCCTCTGCAACCGTGCAGATGTTCCCTGGCCGTCCGAATATTGACACACTGGTCGGTATGGAGGTCGAGAATCAAGTTGGTGCCATGGGCGTTCTTGTCTGCGGCAATGGCGGTCTGAGTGATGACGTTCGCCGTGTTTGTCGAAAAAGACAGGCTCAGTCTAGTGTTGATTATGTGGAAGAGAGTTTCTCTTGGTAGACTGACGTACTTGGTAGATATATGTGGCTGTCTTTTTTGGCGTATGAGCGTGTTTGTTGTGATGGTCCCTGTCGTCTTTTTACGCAGGATTATGCGACAGTATAAGCCTGTTGCCTGTTCGCTTTGCTTTGCAGCTGGCTTTTCTTGTATACTTTGATCGTTTTGTTCTCTTCTGGTAGCGATCTTCCTGTCGTCATGGTTTTATAGAGTTGTACATATCTTTCCTGCGAATGCACGGTTTGATTAGAAATTCTTCTCAACTTAAGCATCGAGGCTCAATGATTCAAACAGCAGTCCAGGGAATAACCGCCGACTTCGTCGTTCTCCACAAACAAGCCTTTAACTTATAGCGACCTGCCTGATGAACAGCTCTGCCTCTCGTTCACTACATAGCCATAACAATAGTACAGTCAGACCTAACTAGACACTAAGCAGTACATAACTAGGTACACAGATATTTCGTCTGTTTCAATCTTGCACAACCATCCACCATATCTGCTTCTTTTCCGCCATTCCCATAGGCCACAATCCACACTCGAGGGATACGTATGTCTTCAATTCGTGCAGGGCATGTATTTTGATGCACTCGCCGCAATGTATGCGACTAGGGGTAATAGAACGAAACTATTCCCCAAGAAGTCCGGGGCATCTGCTTAGGTGATATGATTCTTCACTTGGGAGAACATTCTAACATTCCCGGAGTCCGTGAGTTCCACGAGCTTATAAATCCAACAAGTGGGCCCCGGGGGGTTGGCCCGGGGAAGGCTAATATGACCTCATCGTATACATACTTAAACCATCTATTAAGAATTCGTCTCTCTCAATCATCTGTTTAATCTTCAGTTCCATTTCTTGCTTTGTCAATATGCCAGAACCAACTATCACCCTCTACACGATCCAGACCCCCAATGGAATCAAAATATCCATAGCGCTAGAGATGCTTGGGTACAGTAGTTTCCTTGACCTTCTGACGCTTGGTACTAAGAGTGTAGCCTGCAATATAGGGTCGAAAAGATTGACATATCGAGGAACGTTCAAAAGGAAGAGTATGTCTTTACAAATACCCAAATACCCACACAAACAAAGCTAACTACCGTAAAGCTGGTTTCTCAAAATCAACCCCAATGGCCACATCCCTGCCTTGACAGACCTCTTTAGCGATGGCAAGGAGATCCGGCTATTTGAGTCTGGTAGCATTCTGGAATATCTGGCAGAGCAGTACGATCACGACAACAAGATCTCATTCCCCAGGGGCACGCGGGAATACTACGCTATGAAGAACTGGCTGTTCTTCCAGAATGCGAGCCTAGGACCTATGCAAGGCCAAGCCAACCACTTCACACGGTATGCGCCTGAGCGCATTGAGTACGGTGTGAACCGTTATGTCAACGAATGTCGCCGATTGTATGGTGTTTTGGACAAACATCTTGCTACGTGTCAGTCTGGTTGGCTTGTCGGTGACCATGTCTCTATTGCCGATATCTCACACTGGGGATGGATAGCTGCTGCGGGATGGGCTGATATCGATATTGACGAGTTCCCGAATGTTAAGGCTTGGGAGAAGCTTATGGCTTCGCATCCAGGTACTGAGAGTGGTCGTCATGTCCCTTCTCCTCATACCATTAAAGATCTGATTCAGAATAAGGCGGCTGTGGATAAAACGGCTGCTGAAGCCAGGTCTTGGATCCAACAGGGGATGCAGGCCCAGGCTAAAGGCAAAGTTTAAAGAAGAACTGCTGGGAGATTGATGACTTGGATAGCTGCGCAGATGATTTCAAACCGAAATTCCAATCAAGAGATCATAAACTAAATATTTTTCTGATTGTGTGTGAGTGTTATAGAACACTTTACATGGGCACGTATACCCCAGATTGTAGGCCATATCCCAGGGCTTTCCTTTTCCATTTCAGTGCTCGCCCCTTGCCGTTCTTTTTATCACCGAGTAAGACTGTGCATGCCCACTGAGTATCGAACAAATCGTAAACCTACAAGCACAGATCCGAAAGGCCTTATCGTCGTGTAGAGTCCAGATCACAGGGTCCTCAAAATCTACTGCTGACGTAATCTCTCTAGACTTCCAACCTGGGAAGGAACCTTGGAGTCGGATGGCACTGAGAGGAGATACCTACGTGTAGCTCCTTCCCTCTCCATATCACTGCACCACGAGCGGAATACACAGTGTTGTTACCCGCGTTCCTTGACTCGCTCTCCCGAGTCCTGGCCTGTTGAGGTCAGCATCTGCATACACACACAATGAGCGATACACCCCCGGATGCTCCGCAAATTCCTTGAATGCAATGACTCGGCAGACACGTTAAGGCAGAACCAGACAGTATCCGACAATTCTGCTAAGGATGACTGGCCCAGAGATTCCTTCCAAAAAGAATGTTTTTTTTTTCTACGGGACATTAACGGGTCAGTCTTGAAATCATCAAATCGACCCTCCGTCATGCGTCATGCTAGAGTGATAGGTTCTGTGATCAAACTTTGAGGCCCTGCCCTGCCCTTCTTGATGGAAAGCCACTCCGTTCAGTCAATGGCATGGCATATGAGATGCTGTTGCAGACGCAACTTGATTGACTCGCGGCCTATGTACCAGCCAACACCTTGCTTGATTGAGCTTCTGAATGACAATAGCATCCACAATACTATTGAAGGGGCTTCTTTCATGTGGAATGGACAACAGGATGAACTACGGCAACCTTTGACCTGAAGCAATGGAAAAAGAAGAAGCAGTTGGGAGATTTGGATTGAAAACCGGAGAGGCTAAAGCCATCTACCTACATAGGTACTGGGCTAATGCCGAGGAGTGGAATCCTCAGCCTATATTTCATCGAACTCTCATTACAGCATGCTACTTTTATTCTCCCCCCAAACCTCATTTCCCTTTTAAAGATCATCTTGCTCTTCATCAAAAAGTGTTGGTTTTCATAATCTCCATCCGAACCTTCCCAATAGTTACCGGCTCTACTAACTCTGCCTCCTAGTTAAATCAGGCTAAGGTCTACCCTTTGAACAGGCCTAACTAAAAGTTGGACCAATGGAGCCTCTGAAAGGAAATAAGAGAAGAATGAAGTAAAAACCCGGAAATTGTACAGACTGTGACTGTACATCCATGAAGACGAAGCGGAGAACTTGATAATATCGGGTCCGGGGATACCCAAATCCGAGTATGGCCTCGCCACCGCCTACGAAATAAGATTTTGCTGAAATCACGTGTTCATGCTCGCCTCTTGAACACCGCAGCTTCTTTCATCTCTTCCACCTATATCACTTACTACTCACATTTTTCTATCCAAAGCAGCAGTCATGGCTTGGCGCAACCAGGGAATAACTGGCTCCAACAACATCCCGCTTGGCCGGCGACGCATGGGCGGCGAGGATGGAGAGGAGGAAAGTCGCACTGTGACCCCTTCTTCTATCCCCTCTTCGTCTATGGGTCCCGATGGTCCAAAGCGTGGGCGTAGCCCTGTTCGAGGTATGTTTCTTCCAAACTCAAAGGTGAAAACAAAATCAAGACTGACCTTGCTTCAAAGCCGATCCAGCTCCCTTGAACACCGATGGCGATGGCAAGAGGCGCAAGAAGCGCAACCGCTGGGGTGACCAACAAGAGAATAAGGCTGCCGGTCTTATGGGCCTGCCGACTATGATCATGGCGAACTTCACCAGCGAGCAGCTTGAAGCTTATACGCTTCACCTTCGTATTGAGGAAATCAGCCAGAAGCTTCGAATCAACGACGTGGTCCCCGCCGATGGTGACAGGTATGTGCTTTCATCCTTTGTAAACTGCGTTTATCTGTATACTGACTTTGATCACAGATCTCCCTCGCCACCTCCTCAGTACGACAACTTCGGAAGACGTGTGAACACTCGCGAGTACCGTTATCGCAAGCGTCTTGAGGACGAACGTCATAAACTGGTCGAGAAGGCCATCAAGACCATCCCTAACTACAACCCGCCTTCTGACTACAGACGCCCCACCAAGACCCAGGAGAAGGTCTACGTCCCCGTGAATGACTATCCAGAGATTAACTTCAGTATGATAACTAACCCTCTAACTCCTAACCATTCTTCCATTGCGTCTATCACGAGTCCCTACTCGACTCGAGCTGACAAGGCATACCACTTTGGATGTCCTCAGCTTGTTTCTTGCTAAACCGTGGTGCTTGATGCTGCACATATTTAAAAAAATTACAGGATCACTAACACCTAGCTCTTGCTATTTTTACAGTTGGCTTACTCATAGGACCTCGTGGAAACACCTTGAAAAAGATGGAGACCGAGTCCGGTGCCAAGATTGCCATTCGAGGCAAAGGCTCCGTCAAAGAAGGAAAGGGTCGGTCTGACGCCGCTCACGGTAGCAACCAGGAAGAAGACCTGCACTGTCTGATTATGGCGGACACCGAAGAAAAGGTTAACAAGGCCAAGAAGCTTGTCCACAATGTCATTGAAACAGTAAGTTCCCATGTCTCGTTTTGTCGATCAAAACCCGGTATTAACAGTTGCTAGGCCGCATCCATCCCTGAAGGCCAGAACGAGCTCAAGCGCAACCAACTTCGTGAGCTGGCTGCTCTTAACGGTACCCTTCGTGACGACGAGAACCAGGCTTGCCAGAACTGTAAGTGAACACCTTTCAAACGTCCTTTGTTGCGCGATTAATTCTAACCGTGGTTCTTATCAGGTGGTCAAATTGGACACCGTAAGTATGACTGCCCCGAGCAGCGTAACTTCACTGCGAATATCATCTGTCGTGTCTGTGGCAATGCTGGCCATATGGCTCGTGATTGTCCTGACCGCCAGAGAGGCAGTGACTGGCGTAACGCCGGCGGCCCACGTGGCGATCGTGCTGTTGGCACTGGTGATGCCGTGGATCGCGAGATGGAGGTAAGTTCTCTTTGCTCATGACTGCTTTCTCGGGCATGGTACTAACAACCCCTTAGCAACTGATGAATGAATTGTCTGGTGGTGCTCCTGGCGAATACGAGCCCCGTCGCATTGAAGCCGGTCCCGACAGTGGCAATGGCCGTCCCGACGACCGTGATGTGAAGCCCTGGCAGCAGCGTGGACCGCCGCCCCAAAGCGATGTGGCTCCATGGCAACAGCGCCGAGACCCTCGCCCTCGTGACGACTACGGATCCCGCGATAACTATGGATCCCGCGACAATCATGGACCTCGTGACGACTATGGATCTCGCAGCCAGGGTGGTCCTGCCCCTTGGGCTGCGCAGGGCCAACCCCAAGGTCCACCCCAAACCCGCGACTACGCTTACGGATCTCAAGGCGGTTATGCTGCTCCTGGTGTTGCTCCGGGTGCTGCTCCTTGGCAGCAACCGGCCCCTCCTGGCGGACAGCAGCCTGCCTATGGTGGTGGTTATGGTGGATACGGGTATGCGGCTTATCCTCCTGGCATGGGAGCTCCTGGTGCTGCCCCCCTGGTATGGGCGCACCTCCTCCCCCTCCTGGTATGGCTCCAATGTACCCCGGAGGTGCCGGCAGTCCTCCTCCTCCGCCCCCGCCTGGCGATGCTCCGCCTCCGCCGCCTCCAAGCGACCTGCCTCCCCCACCCCCACCCCCACAGTGATGACCTCGCCTTCCCAGCGAAGAAAAAAGATCTCAATTCAAATAGTTTGTTCATGCGTGAAGAAATTGGCTATGGAGGCTTTGAAAGACAATCCAACGAGGATTTATTTCAGAAGCCCACGGCTCGCTAACGATTGTTCCAAAAACGCCATAGTTGTCCTTTTCTATACAATTTTGAGTAACCGACTAATTCTTTCTAGTTCACCTTGAATTCAATGTTGGATTATCGTATTTGTCCTGTACACTCGTAAATGAATGTAGCGGTTTAACTAGCAGATCCTAGTTAGTTAACTCGAAGTAGATGCCTCAGGCCCCACTTATAGGTCAGCCCCAACATTTCTCCGCAAAATCAAGCTCCCTTCAATTATGTCCTGCTTCATGTCCTCCTATATGTCTTTCCGTACAATACAAGTCACTGGCACTTTATAAATTCATACCAGTTGTGTTACACTAAAGAATAATTGGACTTATCCCACCATTGCATATGCAAGGATCGTTACACGTGGATTTGTCCCTCCCGGGACCCAACATGCACTCCACGTCCGCTCAGCGGAAATCTTCTTGGCAGTCGCAGCAGCTATCATCGGTGCGCTCAAAGGGCTCAGGCAGAGCTGATCATGGTACCGCACACCAGTCTGACCAGTCTCTTGACCGACAAGACGGCCCGCAAGAAAACTCGCATCGCGGTGCGTCGACAACGGGGTTGCACTCCGCCCAGGAACGATGGTGGCACGTCCATTTGTTCCGTGGAATGGTCAACGACGTCAAGCGCAGAGCACCATATTATTGGAGCGATTGGACTGATGCATGGGATTATCGTGTCGTGCCTGCTACGGTCTATATGTATTTTGCTAAGTATGCTTGCTCTGATTGGTTAAATCAACCTCTTTTTCTCCGGCGCACTGTTTCATTTGCTAACAATCAGTGTAGTATCTTGCCTGCTTTGGCCTTCTCGTTGGATATGTTCGAGAAGACAAGTCAGAGCTATGGAGTTAATGAAGTCCTACTTGCTTCCGTTCTTGGTGCATTTGTATTTTCGCTTTTTGCGGCCCAACCGTTGGTCATTGTCGGGGTCACTGGTAAGAAACCTGGAATATATAATCATGAAAAGTTAAACTGAGGGTTGTAGGTCCCATCACTGTGTTCAACTATACTGTCTATGATATCATGGCTCCTCGAGGGACACCGTATCTTGCATTTATGTGTTGGATTGGAATGTGAGTTTCCTTTGTCATCTTCGATCATTGACTTTGCTGACATCCATCATAGCTGGTCTTTGATTATGCATTGGATACTGGCCATCACTAATGCCTGCAACGCCCTGACCTATGTCACTCGGTTCTCGTGCGACATCTTTGGATTCTACGTTGCTTGCATCTATATTCAGAAGGGCATTCAAGTTCTCACTAGACAATGGGGCTCTGTTGGAGAGACCTCTGCTTATCTGAGTATCATGGTTGCACTACTTGTCCTAATGTGTGCATGGATCTGTGGAGAGCTGGGCAACGGCCATCTCTTCAAGCGATTCATTCGGAAATTTCTTGAGGACTATGGTACACCTTTGACCATCATCTTTTTTACCGGCTTCGTCTACATCGGTAAAATGAGAGATGTTGATGTCGCTACGCTCCCTACTAGCAAGGCTTTCTTTCCTACAAGTGACCGGTCTTGGCTTGTGCGGTTCTGGGATATCAGTGTTGGGGATATTTTCCTTGCCATCCCATTTGCGCTTCTTCTTACAATTCTCTTTTATTTTGATCATAATGGTGAGTATTCTGCATCGGCCAAGTTACATTTTGTATGGCTGACACGTCTCTTCCAGTGTCATCTCTCATTGCCCAAGGAACCGAATTTCCTCTTCGAAAGCCAGCTGGCTTCCACTGGGACCTCTGGCTCCTCGGCCTCACAACCTTTGTAGCTGGACTTCTGGGAGTACCATTCCCCAATGGTCTGATTCCCCAGGCCCCCTTCCACACTGCCGCCCTCTGCGTCACTCGTCAGGTCGCAGACGAAGATGACACAAATAAGGGGAAAGCTATCCGGGTTACAGACCACGTAGTAGAGCAGCGTGTTAGCAACTTCACACAGGGCCTTTTGACCCTCGGAACAATGACTGGACCCCTCCTCATCGTGCTCCACTTGATTCCACAGGGTGTCATGGCTGGTCTGTTCTTTGTTATGGGTGTCCAGGCTCTACAAGGCAATGGCATTACGCAAAAACTGATTTTTCTCGCTGAGGACAAGAAGTTTACCTCTGCGTCGAATCCTCTGAAGCGAATCGAGCGCCGTTTCGCCATCTGGGCCTTCGTCGCTCTTGAATTGTTTGGCTTTGGTGCGACTTTCGCTATCACTCAGACCATTGCTGCCATCGGGTTCCCTGTTATTATTCTCCTCCTAATCCCGGCGCGCTCATTCCTGCTTCCTAAATGGTTCTCCCGCCAAGAGCTTGCAGCACTCGATGGGCCGACAGCTAGTCCATTCACCATGGAAAGTGTCGGTGGTACCCACGGACTGGAGGACTACGACGAAGCGGTAGCTAATGGTGCCCAGGAGGAATATTCGAGTGCAGATGACGGAGTCCTACGAAATCGAACTTCAGCTTCTCCGGCGTCTGCAGTCGAAGAGGATGAGCTAGAGCGAGGTGAGGCGTATGAGCTCGCCTCCCGGGTTTCGCGCAGAAGCACAGCTAGTCGGGTGGACTAAATGGTGCTACGATAGCCTATGTGGCAATAAAAAGTTTCTCGAATTATGTTTGGTTATGTTTTCGTTCTCACCACTATTATACACCATTCGATGAACAATTTGGAATATTCATTGATGTCTAGTTTCTCCGGCAGCGACTAAACAAATAGATCGGTTGCTCCACAGACTCAAAACCAACTGATGTCTATTAACTATTAATTGAAACGCTACTTATTTGACTAACTACGATGTGATTATCTCCAAGGTCATTTGATGCATATACAGTGCCTTATAAACCAGGCCCGCAACCTCCCACCGCTTATTAGAGATAACTTTTTCTGCCACAAAATTATTTCGTCCTGATAGACAGTCGCAAAGAAGATGGCGCCCCCGATCACAGAGAACCCCGAGTTCGAGGACTCCGATGTGTCTGATAATTCTGATGTGGAACAACCCGATGTCGACGACCGAGCACCCAAGCGCCGCCGTCTCTCAGAGTCTTCCAACGACTCATACGTCGCACCTGCGCCGCTCCCCACCCTCTCTCGTATCAAGAAGAAGGGCGAGGTAGAGGAGGAACCTGAATCAAAGGAAGAGGATCCAGTTCTTATTAGCGATGCAATTGAGCTTGGTAAACAGAGCGGGCTGTCCACTTTCTCCGAATTGAACGTCGCGCCTTGGCTGGTCTCTTCGTTGGCGACAATGGCGATCAAAAGGCCAACTGCTATTCAGAAGGCTTGCATTCCTGAGATCCTGAAAGGGAAGGACTGTATTGGTGGAAGTCGCACTGGTTCCGGAAAGACCATGGCCTTTGCAGTTCCGATTATGCAGCAATGGGCGCGGAATCCTTTCGGGATCTACGCTTTGGTTTTGACCCCAACCCGGTATGTTTCGATGCCATAGTGGATATGAGAGGTTCTATCTTTCGTCTATATTTCGTCCTCGGTAGCTGACTTTATTTTATCCGTCTAGTGAGCTTGCACTCCAAATCTACGAACAGTTCAGGGCCGTTTCCGCGCCGCAAAATATGAAGCCTATTCTCATCGTTGGAGGCATGGATATGCGGAAGCAGGCTATCGAACTTGCGAACCGGCCGCACGTGGTCATCGCAACACCCGGCCGACTAGCCGATCACATCAAGACGTCCGGAGACGACACAGTGGCCGGTCTCCGCCGCGTCAAAATGGTAGTTCTCGATGAAGCCGATCGCCTGCTAGCCAGTGGGCCGGGAAGCATGCTACCAGACGTAGAAACATGTCTCGGAGCACTTCCACCATCGGCCGAGCGTCAAACACTGCTATTCACAGCGACCATGACAGCCGAAGTGCGGGCACTGAAATCTATGCCAGCGGCAGGCAATAAGCCACCGATCTTTATGACCGAGATCGGCACCGAAAACCAAGGCAAGATTCCGCCAACCCTGAAGCAGACATACCTGAAGGTTCCCATGACACACCGCGAGGCCTTCCTGCACGCGCTGCTTTCCACCGAAATAAACGTCAGTAAGCCAGTCATCGTCTTCTGCAACCATACCAAGACATGTGATCTGCTGGAACGCACTCTTCGCCGCCTCGGCCACCGCATCACATCCCTCCACAGTATCCTCCCGCAATCCGAGCGCACAGCTAACCTGGCTCGTTTCCGAGCCACCGCTGCCCGTGTCTTGGTTGCTACGGACGTTGCATCGCGTGGTCTTGATATCCCGTCTGTAGAGCTGGTTATCAATTTCGATGTGCCCCGGAACCCGGATGACTATGTACACCGTGTTGGTCGTACTGCGCGTGCGGGACGGAATGGTGAGGCTACCACGCTTGTTGGACAGCGTGATGTCGAGCTCGTTCTTGCCATTGAGGAGCGGGTTGGTAGGCAGATGGAGGAGTTCGCGCAGGAAGGTGTCAATATTGAGAGTCGTGTTGTTAGAACCAGTCTGCTCAAGGATGTTGGCGCTGCGAAGCGTGAGGCTGCGGGTGAGATTGATGAGGGTCGCGATATCCTTGGACGGAAGCGTAATAAGTTGAAGAAGGTTCGCTGAAGGACATGTTATTAGATAGATGCTGTCTACCTTGAATCAATTGATATATTTAGCGATCTTTTCTAGTTTGGACTTGTAGTGCAACACTCTATGTCTTGATAATATGAGTCTACGTAGAAAGACGGCACTGCTATTGGTTTCGAATTTGTATACTAGAGTTAGGACGAGAGCTAATCACTGTTCAAATGCAAAAATGGTATCATTGATCGCAACATATAGACGAATTATTCTAATAATGCTGCATGCTTCCAAAATGGGATTATCCCGTCATGTTCGGACCAATACTTGTATATCAACAAACCTCGATATGTTCGTCGCTTGGCCCTATACATCATGCAATCCATTGCTCTGGAAATGGCTCCTATCCACTGAAATGCGACTTAATCCACTGTGGCATGCTCCACACGGTAAGCAATAGCCCAGACAGCATAGACAAAACACAAAAAAAACGAAAACGCAGCCGAATCATCCAGTCCAGGCATCCGAGCTTTGATTGCCTGTCGTACTCATGAGTTTCAATAGCCCATCGACCGCGTCGCCTCGCTGTGACGGCGACATAGCATCCACATCATCCATAAGCTCGGCTCTTGGGCCCATGCTTGTTTCCCTGTCGGCTTCACGGCGAATGACCGTAGCTGGAGGACTACTCAGCTGCACTGGGGAGCCGAGCGCACGAGGCGGTGTTCGTTGGGCATGTGACTTTGCGCGTTGCTGAACAACGCTGGAAGACAATGGCGAAGGTCGGCCTGGAAGATCGGGTGTGCTGTGGGAGGGGGTGGAGATGAAGCCAGCGCAGCCGATGCGGGGTGTCTTTATTTGCGAGGATGTGAAGGATGTGAATTGTTTGCGCGATGAGAGGGGTGGCGTGGCAAGGACGGAGAGTGAGAGCCGTGGGCATTTACGACTGTGTGCTTCTAGCTCAGAGACCCGCCGGTCAAATTGGTGGTCTGTCACATTGCGCATCGCGCTCTGTAGTCTTGATCGGAGAAGGCTTGCTTTCTGTTCAATTGTTAGAAACTGCCCGCTGGGGAAGGTGTTTGATACTGAGATCATGGCTCGCATACTTGTTGGATGAACTTTTTGCGCGCGTCGGAGTCTAAGGTAACGCTATGCATGTCTTGCTCAGGGGTGCTAGGCACATTGAAAGATCGATCGATGTCCACTAGATCTTGTGTTTGGCCGCGTTCAGGTTGTGAGTTTTGTGGTGTCGGGGTTTGGGTGAGCTATCATTCGCGCGTTATAGGGTTAGCTTTGGACTGGTCATTCCCGGGACTTCTTTGTCTGTCTCGCATGAGCTTACCTGGCTTTGCATATCATCCTTCACAGTGGATTGGACGCCGAGCTGAGGAGAGGATTCCCGCGCCTGCACGTGTCCGAGGATTTCTCCCCTGTCATCCACTTGATCCCGTGTCCGTTTTTGGCCTGCAAATATAGGAGAGGGGAGGAGCTTCTTAGGTGAGGTAGCAATTGGCATCCGCCTGACCGGGGTCCCAATGGCCGGGAATGACGGTTTGGCGTGTGTGGCGGGGGGCAGACACGCGTTTGAGTCCCTCTCGCCGAGAACTTGTCGTCCGTCCTTGAGAGGACTGAATTGCACTGAAGTTGAATTCATTATATAGCTTTCGATAGTGCACATGTGAGTCCGAGGGAGTATTGAGGGGAATAGAAGGTTGAGATGGTAGAATCCGGAAGTGCTGCGGGGAAGTCTGACGCGAACCAATACGATATGTAAAGAGAACTGCAACTTCCAGGGTTATCACAATTGGTAAGTGGCAAGCTAAGATATAGAAAGCAAGTAGGAATAGGAAGTAAGTAGAAAGTCGAACTGGGAAAAGAAAAACGGTCCTCGCGTCGATCGCGTTTAGGTCGATAACTTACTAGCCTTGTATAGAGCACGGACTGGGGCTCCACACAGGCGTGTTTGAGAACGCGTTTGCATTTCGATTTGGACATTGCAATTGTGTTTTGATACTGTTAATACTATGGAATGGTTTGGTTTAGAATGTTTTAGACTGGTGTCCTATAAACGCGTATAAAATTGACCTTCCTTCTCGATGCTCCCCTATAAAACCTTTTGATGTTGAAGATTCCACGTCTTTCAGGTCTCAATTGTTCCACTTCGCTTTTCTAGGACCCTTTCTTAAGGGTTATAATACTGTCACACATCGATTTCTCAATCCTAGCCTGCGCGCGTCTAGTGCTTTTCGTGTCCTGGATCCACAAGGGTTAGAAACCCCACGGACGCGGTCTAAGATTAAATTATAAGAGAAAAACAGAAAAGGTGATATTATTTGAAATACTTTCGCTTAAGAATAAGATTGCGGGGATCAGGATGGACAATATCTATGTAGTAGTATAATTATCTTGAAGAAAGAGAATAGCCCATGGCAGAGCTCAGGTATATGAACAATGCCTTTGTGATCAATAATATTATAGAATCCATGCATCTAGGTGCATGACTAGCCTCCTTTTTTCCTTTTGGATATGCTACCACTCGTCAGTTACAGGGATGTCGTAGGTAATCTTGATTTAGTATTAGTTGACACGGTGAGCGGGCCCTTATTGAACCGTCATTCTGCCACCTGGCCGCTTTTACCGCCTTCTTTACCTTACTACACCTCAGCAAGACCATCGACCCTTCACACTTGACGTTTCACCATCCTCCTTAGCAAGACCATCGACCCTTCACACTTGACGTTTCACCATGACGACCTCAAAAACACCCGACTCGTTTCAAGCGCACAAGGCCAGGAAGCGCCTTGATCAATTTTCCACCGACTTGGAAACGGCCATAAACCATGCGACAAAATTCAAACCTTATCGAAAGATAGCTGTAATTGCCTTTCACTGGGAGAATGATGATATAGGGGTCGAGCCTCTTGAGAGAGAACTCCTGGACATCTTTAAATCTGTTTATAGATTTGTGACCGAGAGTTTCACGATTCTGCTTATTGAGTCCCAGTTCAAACTTCTAGAACGTCTTGTTTCCTGGTCACGACGAAGTTCTGGAGAAGATACGCTCCGGATTTTTGTTTACTTAGGGTATACGGGGTTTACTGGAACAGTGGCTAGTCGCTGGGACTTGGCGTAAGTTATACCCTATCTTTAATTCTACTAATATATCCCAGCTAATAAATAATAGCGGCAAATGCGATCAGTATACCGGTAACCTACAAGGTCCTAACCTCAACTAGTAGGAAATTCGTGGCTACCTCGAATAATATATAGGCGAAGTTTATTATCTTTTTGATTATTACTCCGGAGGATTAGGGGCCTTAAGCGCGTACCACAGCGCAGAGTTTATGGCAGCCTCTACCTAGGATCAGACAGCAGTATTAAATGTCTATTTCTCCTTTACCCAAATTCTTATCGACGAGCTCTGTTAGTTAAACGGTTAGGCCAAGACACTGGCTAGTATCTATACCCGAATTTTCCGCTATATACAGTAGAATCAGATTAGGGCTGTACCAATCCATATCCCTAAACCGAATTCGCTAAGCGTGACTATCGGTTATAATCGCTTAAGGCCGGTCATAAGAAGCGTCGACCGAGAGTCTTATAGGGTACTACTTAGTATTAAAGTCTAGGAAGAGATTCCCCTAGATTTTACCTAATAGAAAGAATAGCTTACTCACAATATTCCTACTAACGTTTTATCTACTAATATTACTATCGAAGGAGTATTTCGAGGCTCTAGTCTCCTTCTTTTCACAGTTCCTATCGAGATCTAGACCATGATACCGGCTGATAACCCATCCTATACATTTATTAGATACATTACGTCTTATAATCTCCTATCCTAACGACCAACTTAAACAAGCACACTACTAATACACTCTAGCGCTCTATCTGGAAGAGAAAACCAGCCACCGCGAAGCCCTAACAGAAAGCCGTTCGGTAGTCCTAAGCATTAACCATCTCGTTGAACAGGCTTAGATTATGATTTGCCATTCCCCCCCCCCCCTTTGCTTTATCTTATCTTGCTTTTCCTTATTTTCTAACCTAGATAATGAGTTCTACTCTACTTAAAATAGAATTTTTCTTTCTTATAATTCTTCTTGAAAAGGATCCTTCCTAAGCGAGCTGCGCAGCGCAGAACATATAGTAAAATCGATAAGTTATAACATGGTATTTTAACAACCAACGCTTTTATTTAATTTCATTACTATCCGATAGCAATTGATAAGCATTTATAGTATCATATATCAGTTTTGAAGAAATCGAAAAACTTGCATTATTATGGTATCGAAAAATACATCGCTAAACCCTAGAAATATATATTTCTCAGTCACTACTCATTAACTACTTTATTAAATCCCTCCAAATCCTTATAAGTGGCTAGATATCATATTAAAAGCATTAGGCTAGAAAGAAAAGCTTAAGGTAGAATGAAAAGTTAAGTTGAGTGCATTGACTAGTTTTCTGCTAGGGTGGCCTCCGTACACCACGCACACGGGTGGAAGTAGGGACGGTCGGCCGTGGGCATTATCACAAGTGACGCCAAGGCCCATTCCGGTGAACGAGACGCTCAAAACGGCCTCAAGTGCGGCCGTTTTTGGCCTCCTGCTCACCGTGTCATCGTTAATTGGAGTACTAGATGCTGCCATATGGTGCTTCTTGCTTGTTTGATAAATATACATAGTATTAGACTCCTAGGAATTCCATTCTGCCTAATATAAACTTCTCTATAGCCTGTCGTGCTATATATAACATAAGACACCTACGACTGACTCAATGTCGTTTCTAATAGGAAGAACTATTTATAGTAACTATATAACCATGCAAGACAGACGATATTAACAACACCTGAGATATGGCAATGACCTGAACTTGCTTCCCCAATCAAACCATTCCCGTTTCCTTAATGAATAGGCAGACAGAATCAAAATAGGACAGAATATTCATGTGGTGGATGTTGCTTGGTTTCAGTCCTTCGCTTCAGTATAGATCGCAGATAACAGCGCTTTTCTTCAACATACCACTACTGCTCTTGACTGGTCTCTGGTCAAGGTTTATAATTCAATGAACCTATACTATACTGTACATATATTACCCAGAATAGGCATGGTATGCATGTTTCTCTATGTGATTAGATAGTGCTGTCTCCGCATGACATCATCGGGGGATGAAAAGGAGGACTCTTCAGGGCTGACTTGAATTGCATTGTATAGGAGAAATAGGATTAAACAAAAGAAAAGCCGTGACTGCTGGAGCAATTCGAAGCTCATCTCACTATTCCCCAAAGCCGAGGAATGACTTATGTTGATCCTTGATCCTTCCCCCGCATTCGGCTTCCTCCCTTGAACCTTTCTTCTTCTCCAACATTACTACAACTTTTTCAGTACATTCGTTACACAACCCCAACTATTATTGTTATATAAATTGTATCGTGGACCGAATTCTGTGTCACCTTCGCCCAGAGTGTGACCATGCAGCTGTCGCTCGTGGTCCTGGCCGCTGTCTTCCAAGCAGCGGTTAGCACCGCATCTACGCTCACTCCGCCTGTGATCCCCCTGATCGTACGAAATCCATATCTGAGTACTTGGCTCGCAAATGCTCGGGATGCACCTTGGTTAAAATGGCCCATGTTCTATACTGGGGAGGAGGTGGGACTTTCGTTGATGGCTCACGTTCCAAGCCAGAATGCCGTCTACCCTCTTCTGGGCAAGCCCCATGAGTCTTTGGATAATAAATCAGGGTATGGATTCGAAAAATACCCATTTATGAAGGTTTAGCCACTAACAAATTACAGCTATAAGACCAAGTTCCCCAATTACCTCGGCCTGAACTACGATGCCTCAACGACCAACCTGACCTACCACATTGACACCGGTACCGGAAACCCTCTAGACATTACAATCTCATTCCTTTCACCTATTACGCCAACTTCGACTTTACGTCAGTCAATTCCGGCTTCCTATGTGACAATCGATGTGCAAGGCGATGTCGACGTCAGCATCTATATGGATGTTGACGGCCGCTGGGTTAGCGGAGATACTGGTAGCAAGATCAAATGGGGATGGGATAGCTTGAAAACCGAGTACGAGGACCTTACCCTTAATCGATGGCAAGTGCAGAGGGAGAACGAGCTTCTTCTCACAGAGATTCGCGACCGTGCGGAATGGGGCACTCTTCATTTCACTGGACCATCTGTAAGTCCTACCTTGTCAAAATGAACTGATATATAGCTAATCACAATACAGAGCGCTAAATTCCAATCTGGAGATGCGATTGATGTGCGCCGGGTCTTTGCTAGCTCTGGAACTCTGCGAAACACCAACGATGATAAATTCCGTGCTATTCAGGACCGAGCGCCGGTTTTTGCGTTCTCCAAGTCTTTCCACCTAGGCCATTCATCTAAGATTTACAATGACAGCGTCACATTTACTCTCGCTTTTATCCAAATCCCCGTTGTTCAGTATGCATCATCTCGTGGGCTCACCATGATGCGACCCTTGTGGGAATCTTGGTACCCAACAACGGAGGAGCTCCTGGATTTCCACTACAGGGACTACGCTGCAGCTAGTTCTCTAGCATCCAATTACTCGCAGCAAGTGGCAGATGACGCGTACTTGTCGGGAGCTGATGACTATGTTGACATCGTTGCCCTTAGTGCGCGGCAGGTCATGGGCGCAACTACATTTTCAGGAACTCCGGACGACCCGATCTTGTTCCTAAAGGAGATCTCCTCAAATGGCAATTTCCAAACCATCGATGTCATCTTCCCTGCGTTCCCCTTCTTCCTATACACGAACCCCCGATGGCTGGCGTACCTTTTGGAGCCGCTTATCGAGCACATGCTGAGCGGGCAATACCCCAATAAGTATGCGATGCACGATTTGGGTACACACTTCCCCAATGCTACCGGACATCCTGACGGGAAGGATGAGTACATGCCGGTTGAAGAGTGTGGTAACATCCTCATTATGGGTTTGGCTATTGTGAACTCGCTCCGCTATGAAGACTCTACCGCGGCCTCGTCCATTTGGTCAACACAGGGATTGCCCTCGTCAAGCTCTGAAGGCCAGACTTCTGGACTCTTCCCTCTTGATAATCTACAGGTACTGTCCGGAATTGCTCACCAAGATAGCAAATGGGGTGGCGGTAGTAAGGGCCAGCACCAAGCTGAGAAATGGGTGAAGCGAAGCTATAGCCTTTGGAAACAGTGGACCGGATATCTGGTAGAGTTCTCTCTTGAGCCTGCTAATCAGCGTAAGAACAAGTTCTCTGTCTTTTCTGATAGTATGTTCATGCAAGCTAATTCCGAGAACAGTCTCAACCGATGACTTTGCAGGCTGGCTGGCTCTGCAGACCAATTTGGCTCTCAAGGGAATTGTGGGCATCAACGCCATGAGCAAGATCGCCGAGGTAGCTGGTCACGATGCTGACGCTGCCCATTTCAAGGTACGAGCCGTCTTTTACCTGTGCATTGACAGATTGACTAACTACACCCGCAGAAAGTCGCCCGTGACTACATCACTAAATGGGAAAAGTTTGGCATGTCCCGAGATGGTTCCCATGCCAAGCTTGCCTACGACTGGTATGGCTCTTGGACAACGATCTACAACCTCTACGCCGATGCCCAGCTCTGCTTCCATCTAGAGGGTACCGATACCGATTCGCCTGGGTTTGTTCCGCGTCATATCTACCAGAAGCAGTCTGTGTGGTACCACTACGTGCGTCAGAAGTACGGCCTGCCCCTCGACAGCCGCCACATGTACACCAAGACAGACTGGGAATTCTTCTCAATGGCTGTCGCCTCTAAGGCTGTGCGTACAGAGATTCTCGATTCTGTCGCCCGCTGGGTCAATGAGACCACCACGGATCGTCCATTGACGGACTTGCACAACACGGAGGGTGACGGGGGCTTCCCTGGTCCGAACTTCTTTGCTCGGCCTGTCATTGGTGGCCATTTTGCTTTCCTAGCGTTGGAACGTGCCTGTGGTGGAAAGGCCATGCCTGGCCTGTCTTTCCTCGACGAAGTCGACGAGGAGACCTTGGCGGTTTGGGCCCAGAGTGCCGAGTCTGCCGCGAAAGAATTCGACATGTCGGGGCAGAACCGCCATGGCGAGGGAGAGCTGTAGACGTCTGCATTTCGTCACAGCGAGGGGTCGTGGATGGAGAGGCTGTTGACACAGTAAATCTGTTGTCTCTCGTTTCTGGGCCCGAATTTTGCAACTTTGGCTATCTTATCATTAGTACATACCTAGATAGGGTTAAGTCCTCTGCGCCTTGGGTAAATCCAAGGTTATATAAAACCCCGATTTTGGTCTATTCCTATGCAAGCCCGTCGTATATATCGAAAAGCGTATAACTGCCTGTTAGATGTACAACCCCACCGATAGATCTATGAGATAGTAATCCTTTTAAAGTATAAGAAGCAGACATGTCCCGTAATTCAATTGAAGATTTTGCGTTCCTATTTTTTTGGTTGACTTCTTCTGGATCGATTCAAATTACATGGGCCCGTCGAATTCAGTCATCCAATTCGCGTTTGCTCACCGAAGGCAAATGTAAACACACACACACAACACATATAAGACCAACCCGGAATATGTCTTTTCCCAAGAGAAAAGAAAAAACTTAAATCTGGGCAGTTTTTGCATCCAGCAGAGCACGGATAATCCCTCACATCCCACAAACTCCCCTCAAGCCCAATCCCCATGAAAGAGAAAATAGAAACCATCACAGATGAAGCGACACAATAAATACCACCTCCGGGTGAACTTGCACACCTAGCAGATGGAGAAAAGGGATGAAAGAGTCGGGAAGATAAAGAATATCCGTGCCTGGGAGCACGAGTTCCCGACAAGGTCAGGCAATTTAGTTGCCGCCGAGGCTGGGGAAGTTCTTCTCGTCGACGGTAGGGCCGGCAGGGCCACGGGCGTTGCCACGGGGAGCAGCACCGCCACGGGCAGGGCGGTCACCGCGGGGGGCACGGTCGCCACCACGGGGGCCACCACGGCCACGCTCGCTGCGTTCACCACCACGGGCAGGGCGGTCACCACGGGGGGCACGATCGCCACGGCCGCGGGGAGCGGGGCCGCTGCGGGGAGGCTCGACGTAGCGGAGGTCAACGTCAAGGAAGTTCTTCTCCTTGCGCTGCTTCTCGCGCTTGGCCTTCTCCTGGGAGGGCTGGATGTAGGAGGGTTCCTCCTCCTTGGGGAGCTCCTTGGCGGTAGCCCACTTCTTGTCGAGCTTAGTGCCCTCGTTGGCGGTGCGCTCGGGCTTGGCAGCGAGGGTCTCGCGCTGGGCCTTCTCGGCAAGGTAGTCGGCGAAGGACTTGGAGTTGTCGGGCTCCTCCTGCTCCTCGGCCTCAACGGGGGTCTGGGGCTCGTTCTCCTCCTTCTTGGCGATCTTCTCGCCTTGGCGCTCATCGTCCAAGGTCTTCTCGCCGCTATCGGCACCCCAGCCCTGCTGGACCTGCTTGCGGGTGTCGCTGTATAATCGAAATTCAGGTTAGTTTGGTCACTCTTGTATAATTCCTCACGAAATCTCATGGTTCTCATGATTTTTCCTTCGGGTTGATTCGTTCATTCGAGGGATCGCTTACGTCTGGCCAGTGCGGGACTGGCGGTCACCGCGGCCGCTACGGCCACCACGGCGGGCGGGCTGAGCAGCCTCGTCAGTGGGCTTCTCACGGTTGTGGGTACGGCCAGCGTTGCGGTCACGGTAAGCTGTCCATTTATTAGTCCAATTATTCCGTCAACCCAATTCTTATAACCACATACCGGCCTCGTTGCCAGCGGTCACACGGCCACCACGGCGAGCGTTGGCCTCATTGTGACGAGCAGGTTGCTCCTTGGGGGCATCACGCTTTCCGGATCGGTCAACGGGGCGGTCGATAGCCTTGGTGGGGGGAGGAGCGGGTCTGCTGGGGTCGAGCTCTGGGTCGTTACCTGATGATAGGCAAAGTTAGTGATCAGTCGGCCGAAGAACGGATGCGAATAGAGCTGGATTGTTCGGAATAGGAAAAAAGCTCATTGTCGTCGGAAAAGATAGCCGAGAATTGTATTCAAGGGAGGGGAAATTTACCCAGAAGCTCGTAGAGGTTCTATATTAGAAGAAACAATTCGAATTAGTTAATGAACATAAAAAAAAATCCGTTGAACCCCGCAAATCGCTTCCAGATCGCGATTCATATAGCATTGCATCACTAGCAGCGCGCAGGAAAGCTCCAATTCAGCGTACCTTGGACCGGACGTCCGCCATGACGCCTGTTGTGTTTCGGAGACCTTCCGGAGGGAGGCGCTCAACTTTAGACAATCGGTCTAGAGGAGTTAACGGGGCACAAGGCAGAACCCAAGGGAATCCGGCCTGTCAAGATTGATGATGATGAATGAGCAGGGTGAAGAGAGGTCCTCGGTTTGTGGTTGCAGGGTGTAAGGTGACTAATCAGGAAAGGCGGCTTCTGTTCCTAAGCGAATATGCCCGCGGTTGCTGATTGGCTGCCCGCAGTCTAGGGCTTAGGGTACCTTACGTAATCGTTACATCAAGGGCTGCTCTGGGGAGTATACCTGGGTTTATTCGCTGTTGGACGTACTATATTCGCCATTTCTGTATATGATACTATGTGTGCACATACTTCAAATGGTAATGCATTGATTAGCTTACATGCCCCGGTGGAGTATGTCGATCTGACTTGTGGACAACACCTGCGTACTCCCAGCCTTGCGCAGCTATGTAATCATCGAGCTATCCATAGCACAGGTAGGATGGATAAGTTTGGATTTAGGTTGACATATGGGGTGGGGATTGCTGCATCATTTGGCTGGCAATCGCATTGGTCCTTGTTTCTCCCTTGGGTATGCATTTCGGTCCTGACATATGCCCAACCCCAAAGTTGCGAAAGACAACTCCTCACTTCTGTGCATACCCCGGCCTTGATATCACCCAAAGGCTTCCAGTAAGTGGCTCCCAGCTAAGCAGTTCCTGGGTCTTTCTGCATGAAGTCGGGTTATCAATGCTCATAACAAAAGACATGAAGCTGTCAAGATTTCCCGCTTGATCAAAAGTTTTTGATACAGCAGGGAGAGCTTTACTTTGACCAATAGCTTCAGCAATATGCTGAGCCCAAGATACCAGAGGTGGTGATGAGAGGCTTGTTGGTTCCTATCAGGACCGAGCCTATAGTTTTTTGATGGTCTCTTTCTCATCATCAAGGCAGCTCTACGCATACTTGCTGAAGTCGTGATCGAATGCAAGGTTGATTAAACCGTCTGCCTCACTGGCTCCTTGCTTGATGATCTCGAGGTCTCGGAAAGGACCTCAGAGTACTCCAAGGTCTTTCGCTGCCGGCAGTTTCGTCGGAGCAAGCAAGGCCTGTGACCGTGTGAACGGTGGGTATGGGTTCGTTGACAACTGCTCTGCCAATGAAGCCGCTGCCCCCAGGTACGAAGATGTGCATAGTAAAAAGGGATGTGATGAGGAACGAGAGAGTGTAAAAGATCGGGATTGAGGTTGACGAAACTTAAAATGCAGAAGGTGAATGCCAGGGAAATCAGGGATTCTCCGGTACAAATGTATACGATTTGCTTGAAGAATGCAATTGAATACGACGAAAACCACACAGAAAGCGATGCCATGACGTTTTATAGATCGAGCCATTGACCTCGGGCAAGCAGTCCTCCCGCAGGCACAAACTATCGGATCCGTGGCGTGAAAGTAAGACTCCATGTTCGCTCTATGGGAACTCTTAGTGGAATTCAACCAACTATGATGAGACTTTGAGTATTGCCTACAACTATACCCAAGGCACAAGCAGCGGCAAAATAATGGGCCTTCAACGCAGCCCGCCACGTCCTATACAGCAGCAATGCTGGAAATACTTATCGTAGCATCAGCGTAAACATCGAACGTACAAGATCATGGTGTCAAAAATGGAAGAATACAGCAGCAGTAGTAGTAATCCTAATCCTGATCTACTATACTATCGACTTCTCGAATAGCAAGAAGTCAATCTGTAACGCAATCAACACCGTCCTAGATAATATCTTCTTTATCCTGTTGATGAATATAGAGCTTCACTGCAACGCAGGCGAGTTTGTGATGTAAATAGATTTTAAAGACCGTTGCGGGGCTTACTAGGGATATGAGTATCATTGATCCTAGAGCGTTGAGGGTTTAGTAGATTGAAAATATGCAATGTAAGTTACATTTGCTAACTGCCGTGATGGAAAGATTCGATTCATGTACAAAATGTAACATAATATACCTCTGAGAAAACCAGGGGAGAACATTGGTATCAAAACCCTCACAACGCCGGAGAATGCTCAAATCAAACTTTTAGGGAAGAGATGGTCATTTGCCACATAAGATGGACGGATATATGAATATAGAACAAGAGAATAAGAGAGAAGGATGTAGACAAATTTAGTTTATTGTCTCGAGTTGTTGTGCTCGTAATTGAACGGCGTGGGGAAGTGCATGCTAGCGCTTAACCCAAACGGATCTGTGTCCATCATCGGCTCGTACTGGCCGAGGAGCTGGTTTGCATTGCCGAAATCGCTGGGTGTGCCCTCGCCTGGTGGTTGATTGAAACCGGACATATGGGAGCCCGAGGCGACGGACTGCGGGGTGTATCCAGGGACATAAGATGCTGAGCCATCGTGGTCATCGTCGACCATATCGGCCTGGGCATCATACTCTTGCTCTGCTTGAAAGGTCAGCCGGGGAAGAACTAAGCAACAAAGTCAAAGATAGGCTTACCGAGCTGATCGTAGTGTTTCTGGAATGGAGAAGGATAGTAAGCAGCCGCTGCGACCCGCGCACCGCGGGGACCCATAGCTCCCCCACGGGATTGAGCCTTGGGGTCTGACGGTTCGTTGTGCGGCATACTGATTGCCGGTGGCGAAGTCTGACCGAAAGACCGGGGTTGGGGGAGGAGCTGGGGCCGTCCGGCCTCGACAGGTGACATGGCGCTCTGGAAGCCGAAACCGGGGGACTTGGCGTGCGAGGGCGATGAAACGTGGGAGGTCGGTGTTGCTTGGAACTGCGGTGACGGGATCCCGTATGCGCCTTCCCGCTGTGACATGCCGAACGTCTCAGGCTTCGAGGCGATACCTGCAGGGTGTCGCTGGTTCGGGCGGCCCCCTGCCACATTAGGTGCCTTTGGGGGCATAGGGTTTGCCTTGAGAGGGGCGCCCGGCGCCCCTGTTTTCAGGCGTAGTTCGGCTTGTACATCGATGCCTGGATAAAGGGGTTGGGAGTTAGTTGAAGTTTGGACCGGAGGTTCGGGTAAGGGGTACCTTTTTCAAGGAGGATGCGCTCCAGCAGGGAGTTCTTATACCGCAGCATTAGACATTCATCGGCGGCGCTGCGATGACTCTGCTGCAGACTCTGCAGAGATTCCTCATTGCGCTTGATGGTGGTCTCTAGCTGACGGATATACTCCGTCCTGCGTTCTCGGAAGGCCGCCTGGGCCTGCCTGTTGCGCTGCTTTCGCTCTTCGGAGGTGGCATATATCTGAAGGGGGGTTAGTATACAATGCACAGGAGATAGGACCGTGACACAAAGGAGGAATGCGGGGCCCCCAGATTGAAGATGTTACGTACAGGTTTCCTGCCTCCCTTCCTCTTCTGAGTCTGCGCGGCATCCTGGGTCAAGGGTTCGGCTTCCGGATCTGGTGTTGAGACGGCGGAACTGATGGAGCCATCAGGACCGGGTTCATGTTTAGGCGCGATTGAGTCCATGACCATATCACTATGGTCAACCATCGAGACCATTATATAATCTAATTCAAGCCTGTAGGCGGCCCTCCGCACACGGAACAGACACAGCCAGTTTTCCCCGCGTTGCCGGACCTGCTGGCCGGCAAAAAAGAGAGAAAAAAGAAAAAGAAAAAAGAAAAAAAGAAAAAAGGATAAAAAGGATAAAAGGGGAAAGAGAGAGACACACACGCGCGGCTAACTCAGAAGGGACGTGCGAGATAGAGGGAGTTCAAGTTGTGACATAAAGAAAACCGAATTATGAGAAAGAAAGAGTCAGAGGAATTGAGATAAAAGAGGAAACAAAAAATACCTGTGTAAAACAATTGACTAAAAGAAAGAAAAATTCTGTCCGGTCAGGAGGGGCTCTCGCGTACCTGCCCAGGTTGGACTCTTTGACTTTTTCGTTTTTTTCTTTTTCTTTTCTTTTCGCCTTCCTTTTTCTTCTTTTTTTTCCACTTTCTAACTGGATTGGGATGAAAAGGCTTTTTTCGGGTGGTTCCACGTTTAGTTGAATGGCCTTATTCTCGGATGTATGATCCACCAAGGTTGTGTGGTGGGGGGGGGGCTGTTTCAGTTCCACGGTATGCTGTACGGAGTAATTAAAAAAGACGAGTATATTGTAATTGCAGCTTGTACTTGCAAACTGCCTGCAAGTTGCAAATTCAAATTGAGAATGATTGAGAACATTGCTTAATAACCTTGAAACCCTACACGTGCATGTCATGCGCAAACCCGTATAGCCGATACCGGCATACCAGATCATCCCATTTATAACCGCTATGGGAGCTTCGGTGTCTTCCGCCCTATCCAGAAGCCACATGATCTTACGACCCTGACCCATTGGGGCACCTGGAAGCGAATCAGGCGCCCGACTGGTTTCCCTCGGGGACCAATGGGCGATCATCGTGGGATGACGCACCTTCCCCGGACTTGGAATGCCTTGCAGATTTTTCTCGCATGGAACAACCTGGTTGAGATTATGCGGGGGGTTGTATGCCAAGGACTCAATGATCTGGATGATCTCATGGGAATATGCGGAGAAGGTTGTTTACGTACAATTTGGAGATGCTAACTAACTAGGTATGCAGTAGTGAACTAGATCTTATTCTATATGCCGGTACTTTGTACATGGACAGAGTTTGGCGATCTCGATTAGATCTGCCTTATAGCAATATAGAGAACGGTGACTTTGACTTTGAAAATAAATCAATATCCTCACTTCTATAAATCATATAGTTGACTATACTATAGTAGTACCTACAACATTGCCTATGTATGACCGGCAAAATAGAACCCTCGGCGATCGGCACCCCGCCAAACACCCGTCACATGTCAACCTCATCTCCAGACTTTCTTTTTACCTCAAAATTAAGCTTAACTCCGACTGGGCCATATTTTCAATTGAGATCATACTTGCTTAGGTTATTCTTCTTGCGCAATATGGCTACCTCCTTGCCCACCGAGGACCGCCCCGAAGAGGCTCCCACCGCAATCACACAGGAATCTCAGCCCGCGCCACAAACCAACGTCGCACCAGCACCAGCACCTGCACCTGAACCCGCACCAGTACTAGCACAATCGCAGAAAGCGGCTGCAGATGACGACGAAGACTCGGAATTCGATGAGCTAGATGGTAACGCATACCCGCCTCTCCTATTCACCCCGCTCCCGCTCCCCCGCACCGCTCTATGGTGAAAAGATACTCATACCTACAGACGTCCTCGACGACTTTAACAAACCCAAACCCGCCCCTCCTGCAAACCCACCCGCAACCACTGCCATCACCAACTCGGATCCCTCACCCACAGACTTCGACGAAGATGCCTTCCTCAAGCAACTCGAACAAGAGATGGCGAGCATGATGGGACCAGGAGCGGCCGCCGGGAGCAGCTTAGACCCCAACTTCCAGCAAACTGTCGACCAAGGCGCCGATGTATTTGCTAAACAGCTCGAAGAGAGCGGGATCCCGCCAGGTGATTTCCTCAAGCAGCTCCTCGCCGACGTGATGGCCGAGGAGGGCGGTTCTGGAGCTGGAGCTTCAGCAGAGAGTTTTGCAGCAGCTGCAGCCGCGGCTGGCATCGCTGCTCCTGGCACTCAGAGCTCCTCTGGTACGGCAACTGCAGGCACAGGCGCAGGCGTAGAGCAAGCCGCCGACTCGTTCAACGACGCTATCAAGCGCACAATGGGCCGCATGAAGGAAAGTGGTGATAAAGCTACCGCCGCGGTAAGTAATGAAGACGATATTTCAGATGATATGCTAGCACAGCTGCTTAAGGCGGTTGAGGCGGGGGCATCGGGTGCTAGCGAAGACGGAGATCTGTCGAAAATGTTCCTGGGTATGATGGAGCAGCTGTCCAACAAGGAGATGCTGTATGAGCCGATGAAGGAATTGGACGTCAAGTTCGGGCCGTGGATTGAGAAGAATAAAAACAGTGGCAAGGTTTCGGCTGAGGATATGGAGCGGTTTGAGACGCAGGCGCGGGTTGTCAAGCAGATTGTGGGGAAGTTTGAGGAGAAGGGGTTCTCGGATGATGATCCCAAGTGTCGAGAGTATGTGTGGGAGAAAATGCAAGAGGTGAGTCTACTACATTTGAATCGATAGATCTTGTTTCTTTCATTTACTGACTATGTCTCCAGATGCAAGCGGCGGGAAGCCCGCCTGATGAACTAGTTTCGAATCCCCTCATGGAGGACTTAGGAGGTGCGATGGGTGGAGCTGGCGGAGTGCCTGATTGCCCACAGCAGTGATATGATCTTGAAAATGTATGATCGAAGCTTGAAAGGAAGATATCGCCTTGATGCCAAGGTTTGCTTGTTTCCCATCACTCATACATCGTCCGTCTCATGCGCAACCCACGTCGATATACCCTTGTTTAGTTTATGTACATACCCGGATCTCGCCCAAATGGACCGAAAACGCCACCCAATGCAATGCCTCGCAAAAGAAAATCAACACTCAACCCTTAGCCCTAGCCCGCTCACGACATATCCATATCCTGAGACTGAGACTGATCCCCTTGAGGCTCCGACAATGCCATAAAGATATCATCATACTCATCATCACTAAATGGAACACCGTGCCCATTAGACTGTAACTCCTCGACCCTCCCAGGAACCCCCCTCTCTGCGTCTCCCAAAGAGCCATCTCCATAGCCTCCTCCTGAGATATAAACTCATCAAGGGCATCAGCATCATCTACCAAAACCATAATGTTAGCAAATCCCGTTCATCATGTCCACCCTATCTTCAATCCACACATTCCACACATATATCCACAAACCTAACCCAAGAAACCAGGGAAAAAAAACATACCGGGAAGCATATCATCCTCATCCACCTCCTCCTCAAACCCAACAACAGCATCCCCATCCCTCGCCATACTCTCCTCCCACCGCCTCCGATCAGCAAGATGCTCCATACGCATCATCTGCTCCCCGCGCGCCTCAAAGCGTCCATCGTCACGCTCATGGCGCACACGATTAAGGAACATCTTCCGCGTTTTCGCACGCGCCAGACCCGCCGCACCCTGAAGCGGGTTCGCAATTGTAGAAGCGTAGCGTGCTTCGTACTTTGGTTTCTGGCGGGTTGGCGAGCACGGCGAGGTGGGTGTTTGGGTGTGGATGAGGAATGGGTTTGCTGAGGTTGGTGTTGTTGAGGCTGAGGCGGACGCGTTGAAGTGCACTGGGACTGGGGATTGGTGGTTTTGCGTGTGTCGGGCGATTGGCTCGGTTTGGATGTTGAAGGTCGGTGGCGGGTCGCTGAATGGGTTTGGTGCGGTGTTTTGCGACGCGCCTTGGGTGTTGCGCGTCGGGGACATGGTCCACGGTGGAGTGGTGGTGCTGTGCTTGCGGAGCGGGGAGGAGCGGGTTGGGGTGTAGTGGGATTGGCGGAAGGGGGTTTGGGGGGATTGTGTTGCGAACATTGTGATGGTGTGGATGGTGGATGGTTATGGAGTTGGTGATGGGGTTTCTGGCGTATCCGTGGGTCGGATGCGGAAGTCGGATGCGTCGGTGGGGTTTTGTGGTTTCCAAGATTGGTGTTTAGTTCCAGGGCTATTATGTAGGTATATGGTGTTGATTGAGAGTGAACAAGGTAAATTCTTGCTCCGTATGTTGTAGAAGTCTGATGGAGAGATAAAGTCCTTGTTGAGACAGTCGCGCTAATTTAGCGCGTTCTACTCCGGAGTGTAAGGGGCCGGGGCCCATACATCATGTATCACGATTTGATTTGAATACTAGATATTCGACAATGAGCCAGTTAATAACACTTACTCTTTCCAATTTGCCTGTTTCCAACAGTCCATCCAATATGATATGTACAGCAATGCAATGGTTCCAGCTCGAAGGACGAGGGAACATCGGGATGCGATAGTCTGATTCCAGTGACAGTAGTCCAGCGATTATTGGAACATTTATTGGGACACGAGAGCTTGTCACAACTTTCAAGGCTAGAAGGGAGTTAGTTTGTGATCCTTTGCAAGGGTGGAAGCAACCAATAGAGAGAGTGCAAGTGTGAGCCGAGACATTTACGATAGATTGATAAAAAGATGAGCTGGATCTGCTTATCTATCATAGGGCAATTAGTCCAGTATGTATGATATTACGGAGGAGAAACTTATGTATCCTACACCAGCTGAATGACTTCATTATACGCTTCCTTCGAGTCAGCTTATGCCCCGGGTGACCGTATGTCCACAGTTGGGCACGTCGATGACATCATTTATAATTGTTTAGATGCTTGCTTGATTCGGAGCGTTTCTTTTAGGATCTCCGACCTATAGTTTGCCTGCTTGGCTGGTTGGACGATAATTTTGCAAGGCCATATTGCGGTTGTAGCGGATTTCTTGGCAGCGGGAGCATATCTCTTGGCGATTATACCCGTTGAAAACGCCTCATGGCAGATTAGATGTGGGGAAGAGGAGATACCATGTAGTATCTATAGTTTACCCCGCTGATCTAGCGTAGATAGTCGAAACTTACACTAATTAGGAAGTCCACACTGGTTTTGCTTCAAACCTCCCTTAGTCGCTAGGGCTGGCAACCCAAATGCTGATTATCTCTAAACTGGTAGTGATCCTCATGCAACCATTGTACTCGCCTTATAGGGCTTCTGCTCCAATAATATACCCTTGTCCGTTGACCTTAATGTTTCTTACATTGTCTAATACCATCAACAACTGAATAACTCTCTCTAGAGTGTAATCTAAGAACATCTCGCATTCCGGAACAAGGCGGATGTTAATCGGCATGGATTGATCGATGCCTAGCCTACATCGATGTACCATATGGAGTGGCTGACATATAATAAATACTTTAAATGGGTTCACTGGTTGGTTTCATTTGCCTTGAATTACATACATACAGATCAGAACAGATCAAGATAGAAGGGACCTTTGCAGCACACGTCTATCAACACTATACAACTTGTGACGTCCGATGCTGCAAAAGGTAAATGAATAAAATATTGGTCAAGGCACAATGGAGTTCGTCGAAACTAACTGCTTAGATACGGGGAATCAAAAATAGAACAACAGGCATAACGGAAAAGTAGTGCCGCATTTTTGTCAGTCACGCAGGGATCGAGAGTCGCGATCGCGAGAAAAGGAATGTGGTGGTTGCCGAAACAAAAACGCTCAAAAATGCGCAGATATTCAATCTAGAATGAATGGAGTGGGGTGTCAAACGCCCAAAAAAAAAGAAGCAATTTGGCAACCGAAGAACGCAACCGTGAACTCGCATACCCTGTCCATAGCGCCTGAGAAAAGCATGAAGATCGTACAAGATTTACACTTCGACAAGTGTCGAGTCAACGCAGACCTAGAAGTTAGACGCCGCGTTGACGGGACCAGGGTTGTGATACTGGTCTAGTGTGTTCTTGAAAGGGGTGTTGCCGGCTGGGCTGGGGGCCTTTTCGCGGGGACCGGAGCCCACAGCGGTGCCACCCATCAGATCGTCCTCATCGCCGTAGCGCTCATTGCGCTTCTTGTGGATTCTCCAGAAGACCAAGCCCAGGGCACCGATAAGGATGGCACCGCCAACACCTACCACGACACCGATGATGATCTTCTTGTCCGAAGCAGACACACCGCTAGAGCCGGAGCTCTTGTCGCCGTTAAGAGAGGGAGAAGCAACGGGGGTGGAAGTGGTGGTCACTACATTGGCGATGGTGGATCCATCGCTGGTCGCGTAGGAGGTGATGGTCTTCACGACCGGGGTCTGGGTGGTAGTGGTGCTCTGAGAAGTGGTGCTATCGCCACCAGTACTCGACGTGGAGGTGGGATCAGCGGCGGAGGTGGTTGAGGGGACGGTGGCCTCCGCTGTGGAGGAGGGCTCTGCTGAGGTGGTAGCAGCGGTAGTAGGAGCGGTGGTAGAATCGGTGGTAGGATCAGCCGTAGGAGCAGTGGTCGAAGTGGTCGAAGTGGTCGAAGTGGTAGGATCAGCGCTAGTGGTACTCTCGGTGGAGGTGGAAGAAGTCGGGGTGCTAGTAGGCTCGGTGGAAGTAGTTGGGTCCGTTGTAGAAGTCTCTTGCGAGGTTGTGGAAGTTGATTCAGTGGTCGATGTTGTTTTCGGCGCATCAGAGGTGGTGGATGAAGTTGTGAGATCCGACACGACATTGGAAACAATCCCACTCTGGGCTGCGACCGCAGTCAACAGCAGAGCCTGGACGAAGAGCGAGAGGCTGGAGAGACGCATGGTTGGGGATAACGAGTGTGAGTATCAGAACGAAAGGATTTGACCCGAAGTCAAGAAATTGATAAAAGAGGCCGGATATGCAGGAAAATGAAAAAGGAGTCAAAGCGAAAAGGCAGCCTTTGGGCTGTGTTTGTCCCGAACTTTGAAAGGGAGCTAGGCCGAATGGGGCCACACTAGTCTCAGACCCAATCCACGCGCCGAGGCATCTGCGCCGCTGATTGGCTGATCCTGCAATTGGGGCAGACGTTTGTCCCGGTGCAAATGTTTTATTTTAGATTTGGTTTTTTTCACAGTCGAATACATATGAGACAATAGTTAGAGAATTCAGTGAGTGAACAAGTTAATAAGCAGAATGACCTGAAGATTTATAACTACAACATATACCACCAAAGAAGAATCTAAACATGTGGAACAGGTCTGACGACGTACCCCTCGCTTCCCGCTTGCCTCCATATTTAGCACATCTCCCATGATCTGCCTCTGATCTTTCACATATCATTGGCATTCATAAAGCCGCCGTATGACATCTTGCATCAATACCACCCTGTCACCTAATCAATGGTTGTTATCTTCCTGCAAAATACCTAGCCTGCAGGGATTTCCGTGCTGTGTCAGGTAGCACGAATCCCTCGAGTACCTGGACCCCCTTTCGACTCCTAATTTTACAAAGCCGACACAGCCGGAGTTGACCTGGAAACTGAAGTCCTTTGCGCCTAACCCCAATTGGTCCATGTGGCGTGCCGCTGACAGCCTGAATTTCGGGGTTCCGGCCTTTTCTGGAACCACGTAAGGGCTGCTTATTTGTTGTTCAGGTCAGACATGTTGGGAAGACCTCGGGAAGACCTCGGTAATGCAAGTTGTAGAAGGGTTTTCTCTCACTTTTGCCCTAGGATGAGCGGCGATGTATCGATGCCCGTTCCGACAAGCATTAACAGACCGGTTAACCTCAAATGTTTCGCATTCACTGCGTAGATTTGAGGCTAATGTGCGGAGTAAGTAAAATTAGTTCAATGAAGTAGTTGACTATTCTGACTGACTGTCTACGAATCTTCCCCTTATTCGATGCCCCCGCATATGCGTAGCTCTAATCTTAAGTACGGAGTAGTTGAATGGAGTATTCCTTCACTATGTATCAAATTGGCGACATGATGGTCCCGGCTCTTGAGGGTATTTGGAGATGTCGAGGTGCTTCTGATATCCAACATTCCCTCTTTGAGATTACCAAAAGCTACCGCTGATTCATTATACCTGGGACCTCAAAATTGTAGATGCAAAGAATTCCTTCATTTAGCATCTCGAGAGCCGAGCGATCGACAAGAAGCTGTTTGAAGTCTTGACAACAAAGGGGTAATACAAAGCGGAGCCTCTACTTCAAGAATCCGTCTTGTAGCGCTGCATAATTGAAAAGTATAGCAGCCTTATATTTGGATCCTGCTTTATGCTCAAAACAAGTGGAAGCTCTCGTTCCTCGCCAAGGGCGACAAAGGGCAAATATCCCATAATAGCCATGCAGTGAGATGGAAATAGTGCGACTTGATTTGTTTCCAGCCTATAATTTCTTTATTCATTTCGCTATGAATCTAGTCTCTCTTCCTTTGTTGTTCCTTTTGCTCCTCGGGAGCTCTCAATATAAATATATTCTTCTTGTCTGGTATTTCAACTTGACTTCACTAACCTTGCATATAACAGCTCCATTGAGCATATCTGTAGCAAATTCAGCGTTCATTCGACATTTAGAGCTTTCAGCACATTCAAAATTAGCGTATGCCATACGACTCTATTCCACACTCAGTCTACCCAACTCAAAAGAAACATGGCCGATATACCCTCTTCTCCCGAAGGTATCACAACCTCGCTTCCCGCCCTCGACGTTCAATACGAAAGCAAATTCAAGGATTATAATCTCTCGAATATTACACACGTTGTCGCCCAGTGAGTACCATCCCGATTGATATGCACCCCAGCCTTAAGTTTGCAACGAATACTAACGTAAACTAGTCTATCCGACAGAAAAATCAAGAACAACATGGATTCCAATGCCGATATCTCCAATGAGTACGACACCGAGAATTATTTGAACATCATTGGAAATATGCTCTCCGTGACCTTCTTTGGCAATGAAAACCAGCTGGAATGGCTACACACCGAGCAAATTGGTAGACGCAAGTTCGTTGCATTTACCAACATCGAAAAGAAAGAGAAACGAATTCAGAGTCCGAGCCTGAGCCTGAAACACGGAAAGCTGCAGGTGGTTGAGGTCATGTTCATGCGGACCAACCCCCGGGAAATACAGAAGGTCTTCTGGAGGCCTGCCAGACCAATTGTCCTTCGACGTGTTCTGGCTAGAGTGAAGAATTCACTTGAGCTGGCCCGGATTCAAGTTATGAGAACACGACTGGATGTGAATCACCGAAAAGTGACCCCAAGACCGAGGAAGGGTTCGGCTTCAGCATGATCGGCTTGCATTGGTATTCGGCGAGTCGTATTAGACTAATAAGAATGGTTCCAAGTGATATTCATCGCGACTGTACTCTTTCTCATATTTTTTTCTTTTTAAGAAATAGACACGTTGGAATCTGCTTTGCTGATTGATTCAGTAGCGCAAAATTAGCAACAATATATACATGTAAATACGGCAATTCGGATCTTGATTGCGTCTGTAGCCAAGGTGCCTGCAGCGCATCCTTCAGAGCAATCCCGAAACTCGATATATATGCCCCAGTTATTGGATCCCAGCCTGACTGCAAATACAGCCGGGAATAGTAGAAGGGGCAAGTCAATGATTCAAATCAAGTTCATTCTCCGAATTAAACAAGGGATGCAACCCAATGAGTGCGAAAGTGTATCCCACTGTATACCCGGTGTCGACACAAGGGTCAAAATGATGATAGGAAGCACAAATCCAGATTTCCGGAAAGTAAAAGAAAAGCATATAATATGTATCGGTTTCATGTGGGTATCATCAGTTTTCGTATCATACAAGCGCCGGGGTATTAGAATTTGTTCCGCGGGTTTCCCTTCATCTGGTCCTTCAGCTCTTCCTTGAAATGCTCAAGGAATTTTTTGTACTTCATATCTAATCAGAACAGGTCAGCCACACTATGTCACCAAATATTGGTACCAGGCATACCTTGTCCCTCGAGATTAGTGCCTCCCTGCTCCTCCGGAGGCACCCCGTATCTGATATGTTGAACTTTCTGGTGAACTCGGCCCACCATACGATGGAAGATCGGACTTCGAAGGAGCTGTGTAGATCGTATTAGAATGCAAGCTCAAGCAAAAATACATCAATATTGGAGCAACGTACTCGGACAGTGAGCCAGATCTAAGTTCGAACAATGTCAGTGAAGATCGGAGTGGCGAAGGCGAAAGCACTTACCTCCAGACTTCGGAACAAGAGATTCAAAACCATCTTGTAGTTCTTCTAACATTCGACCATGAGCTTTCAGGTGTAACTGATATGGAAGAGCAAGTAGAAGGTTGAGATGCAAGAAGCTTGAACAGTCCTGGTCTCGATCGTCGGAAGATTATCTTAGTCATCCTCCCCGCAAATCTTGGAAGCTTCTCTGAACCATCCAAGAGATCGTGGAGCATGACGGATTGACAACTTGGTTTATGACATTTGTCGACGCCAGAGTCACTTCCTAAACGACTAGAAATGGTCGTATGGCTTTGTCGACATCCTCCGAATCCTGACCATTACCGATGATGGAGAGTGGCGCTGAACAAACTTCACAAGTGGCTCAGTTCTTCGCTATCCAGTTCAGAAAATACGTTTGTCTCACAACGCCCAGAGAATGACCAAAGGCTGCTATACCTGTCGACGACGTCGCATTATCTGCGATAATGGCCAACCCACCTGTCGGAAGTGTCGAGATGCGGGGAAGGAATGTCTGGGGTATCAGAAACCGCTTGTTTGGGTCAAGGGTGGTGTGGCTAGTCGGGGGAAAGATGATGGGCCGCAGCTTTGATGACGTGGGAATACCGCCTAGCAAGCCAAAGCGCCAGCCAGCTACGCATATATATGATTCGACTGCAGCGAGCAGCGGGTTCGGCTTTTTCTCTATCCCCGAATCATCATCCGATGCCGAATCACACAGCTCTGGGAAACAGCCTAGTCCGGAGACCGATGGATGGACTTTTGAGACAGAAAATCCAACATTCGGGGGAGAAATTGCGCACTTGGAGGTCAATACACACGAGGAACAGGACACCGCAGTTGTTCATGTTCCTCGGGGCGCTCCTCCCGCCGACTATACTCCAACGCCATGGGGACTGGTAGATCCACTGCTCAAAGATCTCAGTCAGTTCTCAAGGTACTATGTACATCACTGTGAGAATTCCCCAGTGCATTATCTGTGGCTCCACTGACGATTACTTGTAAGACAATCAATATATGGTTAATGACTTCGCCCTTTACTCCCAACACAAAAATCCGTTCCGAGATCTTACTGCATTGGTCAATCATTCTCCTGTTCTTGCCAGCAGCATCGCTGCTCTTGGGGCTCTTCATTGCTCCCTTGTATCAGAATCGGACTCATCTGTCCTACCATGGTCATCAGGCAATCTATCAATGTCAGTAAAGGAGATTGAAGATATTGTTGCACCGGCAAGTTCTCGAAAGCCCGCTTCGCAGGCCTATCATCATTTCTTGGAGTACAAGCACCGCGCCCTTCGCCAATTATCCATGGATCTCCTCAACCCGGCGATGCAGAAGGACGGCAGGACCTTAGCTGCTATCGTATTGCTTGCCTTCATAGACATATTCGAGTCCGGCAGCGGGGCCTGGAGTTATCATATCGAGGGTGCGAAGAAGCTTCTCAAGGACCGCCCTGAAAGTGGCCCGGGACAAGGAATTCTCGACGACCTGGACGCTTTTGCCCTTGACGGGTGTTTAATGTAAGCTTCGGGTCTCTGCCTATAGCGAAGAGTTCTTGCTGACCATACAGAATGGAAATCATGGGATCAACGCTAGCTCGGCCAGGCGCGCTCTCAAAGCCCTTCTACTCCTCATCCATGGGCCCAGAGATCCTCAAACGCCTCGAGGAAAATTCTTGGGTCGGATGTCCCGCCTATCTCCTGGGAGTGATTTTCTTCGTCCACGCCCTCTGGTATCCAGAATCCGAAGCCGCCGCCATGACCCCCCAACCAACAGCGTTGCCAACCCCAATCCAACCTGGTCAGCCCCTCACCCTAGACTCATTCGCAAGCCTCCTCCAAGGAATCCGCGACTTCGACCCGGTAGCATGGAGCCAAGAGATGCAAAATGTCTTCTTCATCCCAAACTTAACCTACCGTCTCGCACTCGCAACCTCATATCAAGACGCCGTCTACCTCTACACAAGCCGTGTTCTCTCACGCACTAGAGAAGGCTTCTCACCTCCATGGATAGATGTCGGCCTCCCACCCGACCATAGACTCATCGCCACAAACCTCATCACCCAAATCTCCCTCATCCCCGCTTCGGACTCCCACTTCAAATGTCTCATCTGGCCCACCTTCATTGCTGGCGCGGAGTGTCGCCCTTCGCAGCGGGCTCTTATCCTTGAAAAGCTCGGTTCACTCTATGAGGCCATGACGAGTGTTAATGTCCGCAATGCTGCGTGGGTCCTGCGTCTGATGTGGCAGAAACAGGATCTCAAGCGCCGTGAGCATCAGAATGGTTATGATAATAATGATTCTGATCTTGAGTTTGACTGGATTGAGGAGCTAGATCATACAAGCCTCGACTGGCTGTTCATTTAATTTGGGGGAAGATGTCCCCGGGTCTCCCGCTTATGACTGATGTCTACTTGTATCTAGTTTGTCTCCTTACTTGTATATAGTTACCTATCAATCAGTACATTGTTCAAGATCACTTTGCTTGGAATGCGCAGTATTTCATTATGAATTTCAACATATATAAGAATTGTAGCAAGACGGTTGAATAATGATTTCAGAATAGGAAAATCGGGTATATCATCTCTCAGCCTAGAGCAAAGAAAAAAGAGACAGAAAGTCAGATACTAAGAGGGGAGACAAAGGATGGAATTCGAAGAGGAATGAAGCGAGCAAGAAAATCACAATGAAAATGCGGCCAAACCAAGATGCCACTGTAACGAACCTGGGGACCAAGGAAGACAAGAGACACAAGGAGAAATATGACGATATCGAAGCAAGGAAAGTATTCTTTTGTGCAAATTTGTCCTAAAACAACACACCAAGAGGTATAAGAAAACGAGGAGGAGAATGAGGACGCGGGCGTATCAGTCTTGATTTCATATTTTTCAAAGATAATCAATAAGTCAGCCTCAATAAAGCCTGATAACTCACCAGGAACTTCAAAGAAATGAAAATAGCCGAACAGAAAAAGGCTCGATGTTGTGATGCTTCAGGCCAAATCAGGGATATATAACAGCGGAAGACATAGCAAACGACAAGGGAAAGGAAAATCGGTATTCTGTCTGAAATAGGCAGTCAGGCAAAGAAAAAAAGTATGCGCTCCGTTCCAGATCTAAATGCAAGAAACATGTTTCCCCAGCAAAGAACACAAACAAACAGAAGAACACGCTTGTCACTGGAATATGCAAAGGGTAGGATAACCGATACGCTGGGATGATAACCCATCTTTGTGCGAATGCCCGTGCATGGGAAGAGAAATGAAAAAAGAGACGCGGGGAGACAGGTGGAGGTGTGTTCAAATGGTGAGATAGCGAGGTGCGAAGGCAGGTAGTATAAGAAAGTCGGTATCAAACCGACAAAACCGAAAGGCAATTGGCACGTGGATATATGGATCGCAATATGTGTCGTTCTTATTCGATGTCATTAGAACACCGCAGCGAGACCATTCTTCGAATGTCGCTTGCTAAATCGTTTCCTTCCTTTCGTTGACTCGCTATCGGTGGCCTGCTGTTTCACTAGGTGATTCCGACCTGATGATGGTGGGCCTCTATCGTCTTTCTGCATGTCAGATGTGCGGTCTAGCGTATTGGCGGGACTAGGGAACCCAGAGGAAAGGTCGCGGAATGCATCGTCGGAGAAGCCTGCGCTTTGTTCCTGTGACATCTCCCTAGACCTGTCCAATGCGTCCAGCCATTCTTGTACCTGGATCGCTGTGGCGCCAGCGTTGCTTGCGGATGGCTTGGGATCCTCGAAAACGTAATGTTTCTCTCTCTGTGGGGTGTCGTTAGATATGTCATCTTGACTGATAAAGGATGAAGTACATACCGTGTCCACAATCCAGGATGAAATTCCTTTAGAATCCGTCGTACTTCTGTAACTTGTCCCCGGAGCAAGCAGGGGAATCTCGAGCTTTATCTTCTTATCATCACCACCTGATGCGGCCAGAATGATCCGCCCGGATGATGTGACCATCACCAACCGCTGTCGTTTCTTTGTGGCGCTTCCTGAGAAGAAACGAGAGAACTTCCGGGGTGCATCAAACTCGCCACTACTGTTCTTGGACGACGGACTGTGCGAGGCAGCCGAAGACAGAACAACCAAATTACCCAATTTTAAGATCCGCTCGTTGGATTTGTTCAGTACTGGTGACCATTCGATATCGAGCTGACTCGGCGGGGGTAGCTCGGTTACCACTCGTGGAAGGTGGCGGGAACTGGCATTTGCATTCGAGGGTGCAGTGGAGATGACTGGAGGGAGACTCTCCCCGTTTTTACTGTCATTAAGCTTGATGGGATCGCGCGCGGGGGGTACATAGGCCTTCAAGCGGGGTGCCTTCTGTTTCCATAGATCTGGACCCCATGTGATACCGTCAAAGAATTCATGATTTTTGATGTGTTCGATCTGAAGACGTCGGGTAGGCTCTAGGACGAGAAGACGTTCGACAAGATCACGCGCAACAGTAGGAAATCCAATTGGGAATTCGTAGTCGAGTGCCACAATTTTCTGGAAGGTCTGGTACTCGTTCCCAGCCTTGAACGGTGGACGACCGGCCAAGAGCTGGTAGATAATACAGCCGAAAGCCCAAAGGTCGCTGGCTTTACATGCATTTTTGTCCGTCAACAACTCGGGGCTGACATACTCCGCAGTGCCGACGAAAGAGCTCGCCCGCTCTTCCTGTGTAAGCTCGGCCGAGTCAAGAGGAAGAATGCCATTGGAACTGGGATCAACTCGTGGAGTCTTGAGGATCTTTGCCGTCCCGAAATCGGTGATCTTGATATGCATCCCGCTGTCAAGCAACACATTTTCGGGTTTCAGGTCTCGGTGGATGACACCGCGCTTGTGCATGTAGTCTATCGTGTCAAGAATCTGGGCGCTGTAGAATCTTGTACACTCCTCGTCAAATGTGGTCATCCGTTTGAGAACACCGAGCAATTCTCCTCCTTTGCACAAGTCCAGCACGAAATATAATGACTGCTCATCCTGGAAGGTATAATATAGCCGCACGATACCCGGGTGGTCGGTCAGGCGGTTGAGTGTATCTTTCTCGATGTTCACGTATTTAACTTTCCTCTCCTTGATAATGTGTCGCTTGTCAAGGATCTTAATCGCGTATTCCTTCAAAGTCTGCCGGTCCGTTGCGAAGACGACCGTACTGTAGGAGCCTTCGCCGAGAGTATTCCCAAACGAGAAGTCTCGAACGCCCTTCTTGATATAGCGAGAGACAGTTTGGCCGTTGGCATCCACCTCCTTTCTCACAGAGACCGCGGCGCCACGGTCTTGCCAATCCTCGCTACTCGCCAATGGGCCGTTTTCTGGCATGTAAGCCGTTCGTGGCATCTGAGATGCGCCGCCACTTCTTGCTTGTGATCGAGATGACTGACGCATCACCGCCGGGCCGTTGCCCGGAATCTGCGCGGTCCGGTAGGATCGGTCGCTGTGGGAGTTGTCGCGCGCCAGAACACCGGCATGTAATGCCGACGAGCCTCCTCGTGTGTCTAAGCGCGCCTGAGACCCAGATTTGGATGAAGCACCGGAATCTGTTCGGATGCGATATGAATTCTCACGGTGGAGGACCGAGGTTGCTGAGCCATTCACGTATACGGAGGAAAGGGGTCGGTTGGGATTCGGAGGCGTTGAGAGGGATGGAGCCGAGTAGGGCTGGTATGTGTTTGATTGTGGTGTTATCTCGGGGGAGGGTTGAAGGAATGAAGTCTGACGGTCGTCTGTCACCGGGACTTCGATGGTTGCAGGAGGAAAGGCAGAGGGGTGTTCGTCATGTGCGGGATTGTGTTGTGTTGATACCGAACCGTCCGGCGCTCCGAACGGATTAGAGTCTGTTGACCCACCGGTCGCATCCTCCGTTGGGGGAGGCGAATCGTCTGGATTGGCTATCCGAAGCCCTCCCAGAGTCTGGGACAGGCTGAGATCTCCGTTCATGGCGGAGATTTTGAGGTTTGGCAGCGACCGGAGATGTGCCGAGGTATTCAGGGGAAGCAAGGTCGAAAAGGTCAATGAAAGACAGGCTATCGGAAACGCAGCGGATGCATGATCCGAGGAATAGTTGGGGGAAAGAGAGAGGTGTATGTGTGTGTGTGAGAGAGTCGACGCTGGAGAGAGGGGGAAGGATCAACAGGAGGCTCCGTAGAAATTGGGTCTAGTGTCGAGGGGCTGAGCCTGACTTGACTATTAATATTCCCTCCAGGGCTTTCCCTAGAGAATTAGAGGGGGAGAGAGAGATTCAGAGTACAAAAAAAGATATCTGTATGTTATTTTAATCCCTTTCAGTGGTGAGATGGAATGGGTATGTCTGATTTGTCCAGTTTCGAGTCGATGGGATATATTTACACCATTTATATTGCACAGATTTAGGGATTGATAGGACTTATATCATCTAGGCATCTATCGCATTTGCTGATTCACTATTTAGGGACTACGCCGCATTCGCGATTGCAATATCTTCTCGGCCGCATATCCTGGTCGAGGTTTCTTGGATTGTGAAGATACGTGACTTCCTTCTAAGACACGATGTTTCTCTATACGGGACCTCCAGGCTCCAGGGCTTTCGTGCGACTGATCATCATTCATCCCTGGAAACATGATCAGACGGCCCCCAACCATCATTGCCCTGGAGGAAAAGGATGTTGAATCTCACCTCCAGCGGATCTATATCCGTCATACCCTGACTGTCGAATTCGAGCAGCTGCACCTAGAGAGCTGCGACGAAACGGACCCATATCCTAGCTCCTGTATCTCTACGGATTCGGATGTGGATATTGATACCACAGGGCTGAGTCAAGACGGGTCATGTTTTGAATCTACATCTCCAAGAAACAAGAGCCATGCTTCTGCAGATGCAATTCAACACACTTCCGTGACAAAGTCATGCCTCAGATCTCCAACCCAACACTCGTCGGTACAAGTGACAATTCCCATCGGAGTGTACTCGCAAGCAGACCGATTTGTTGACCCACCGCGACTGAAGGTGAAATTTGCTCTGTCACCGCAGGCCTGCGAACTCGAGCTCCATAGCGATAAGGCATTTGAAGAAGAGATGGGTATGTCAAACTCCCGAAATCGAAAAACCAGCTCCATCTAACGAATCACCGGAAGTTCAAGATCGTCGCGGAGAAAACCACCGCCCAAGCCACACAGATGCTATATATACACCCATGTCCATTGACTCGCCAGCCTCGACGCCGCAGGTTTCATTCTTGTCGTGCGGTGTGTCGTCAAGTCCGGCCACCGCAAGTGTCCCACCCCGGGACCTAACCTTAGCGTCCACTATGTCTTACGAGGCAGTCTTGGCCGATGAAGCAGTTTCGCCTGCCAGTGCGGCCAATAGCATCAGCGAGGACTGTGGCTCTCACACTAAAATCGCCATATAGGAGCCCTATGAAGAGATCGTGTGGGTGCTTGGAATTGGTGGCTTTCCTCCGGCGGTTTGGCCACTTCGAGTCCACCATGAGCTGTCCCAGCGGGGTTTCTACCGATACCTGTGGCTTTGTACTGACCAGTCGACTCTAATTCTGTATATTTATGGTATGATGTTTCTCGCCCCAAAACCTCATGATCGACTATACGGGCAATGGAAGTATGCATTAATATTTAATTACCAATATGAGATATTGAAACCAGCCTCACACATAAGCAGTCCCAGACATGTTGAACATACCACAAGAAATATCAAAAATAACCCTCCAAGCCTTGGGCCAGATTACAATGTCTCACGTTAAAATGCAAAAGAAGCGATCTGGAATGTCAGTCAACAATTCATATCTGAAACAACAATATCGGTAACCCAAATCTATCAATAGTTCAGTGGAGAAGAACCACAAAACTGGCTTGCCTCCAGATCTGACGCGGCCTCGGCAGTGCCCTTTTAGCCATTGACACATCTCACCACAAGAATGGTGTAAAACCCCCGACCTACGTCACTCTGCATTGCTGATGTATTTTGCTGATGTTGTACTCGGATTTTTCTTTGCTTTTGCCTGCAGGAAATGCCGTTTAGATTGTACATGTTCGATCCTCGATACGATTGGTTCATGGTTGACCCGCGTTCTCTGCGCGCGGATCCACTACGCCACCGCGTAGAATAACCTTGAACTGCCTTGTGTTCCGGTATATTTCCGTGCCTGGTTGATGGCGCTGAGGCGGCATTTGCCGGTAGATTGATTGTGTCGAATCCAGGGGTCTGCCATTCAGGGGTTTTGGTTCCTAGGTTCATGGATGGACATGGCTTGGATAGACATGGCTTGGATAGAGAGGCTCTCGCGGTGTGTGTGTGGGTTAGTGATTGTCTGGTTGGTGATCTGCATTGTGGCGAGTGTAACTGGAGGGAGCAATGGTATTGGTGGGGTGAGAAATGCCACGAAACACTCTGCCCACATAGGGTGAGATCTGCTTGCATTTTTAGCACTTCGCAGTGGTCGGATATGGGTCACGTGCAACACAGTCACGTGCTAATTATCGAAAAAGCCACTGCATTTTTAGAAAGGGAAGAGGTTCATCGGTCAACTGAATGAATTAAAATGAGCAATAGCACATGTCAAGGCAGTCTAACAAAGTGTATCAAAAGCAAGTCCCGGCTGTCGGCTAATGGAAGAGGGAATAATAGGTAGATGATAGGGTGAAGGGGGTTGGATGGTGTTAAGTAACAAGATGAAACGCCAACAAAGATCGATCATCTTCCAGATGCCGCTTCAAATGCTCTCTCGTGTATAATTTTCCCATGACGGTATGAGCTCGTTTCAATTGTATCAAAAAAATGGAGGGAAAAAAAAGAACCCTTCACTTCAGACAAGAATGGTGGGACAAGTTAAAAAGAAATAAGGGGTCATTATCTACTGCTTCTTGGCGAGAGCCTGGGCCCCATCGACCAAGCGACGCTCGGTGTTCTGGCGACCGTTGACAAAGTCGGGATAGTTGAGGGTCAACTCAACGGCACCGTTGACAATGTTGTCAACAGCCTCAACACCGAGCATAAAGGAGTGGTCCTGGTTGCCGACCTCGTAGCGCCAGCTGCCGAAGCGTCCACGGGACCAGATACCCTTCTCCTGGAGCTTAGGAAGAATCTGGGTGAGGGCACCCTCACGCTCCAGGGTGGGGGTGGGATAACCGTGGTCGAAGCGGCGGTGGTAAGTGGAGACAATCTCATCACCGGGCTGGAGCATCTGGGTGTTGACGAGACCCTGGATACATTCGGCAAGAAGGGTCTCGTGGTTGACGGGCTTCAGGGAAGATTCAGAAACCTCCAACATGACGGACCAGTAGGGACCGTCCTGAGCCTCTGTGCTCTTAGGCTTGGAGCCGTCAGCGAGCTGAAGGGTCGGGAGCTTCTTGGAGGCATCGGGCTGGTTGTAGGGGGAGTAGTTGGAGAAGATGGTGGCACGGTAGAATGGGCAGTCATCCTCGGGGAAGTACAGCCAGCACTTGTCGCCAATGCGTTCGGGGCGGGCACCACGGATACCAACACCGATAACGTGGGTGGAGGAGTAGAAGAGCTGCTTGGTGAGGGGAATGAGCTCGGAGTCGTTCATGGCCTCGGCGAGGTAGTCGACAGCCATGGTGGAGACTAGCTTCTCGTAACCAATGGTGGTGCCGTCGGCGAGGGTGACGGTCTTGTTGTAGGCGTTGACCTTCTCGACCTTGTTATTGGGGCCGTAGCGGGTGTTTTCCTTGGGAAGAGTGTTGGCGACAGCAATCCAGATACCACCGGTACCATCGCGGGCGGGGAAACGGAAGGTAGCGTTGGGACCCCAGTTACCGGCGGTCTTGTTGAGGATAACGTTGGTGGTCACGGCCTTTACGTTGGGGGCAGCGACACGCTCACCGAGCCAAGCGCATTGCATCTAAAGATCATTGATCAGCATTTTTCCGTCTCAGGGACGTGAAGTCAAGACTTACCTTGGTGGTGGGAACGGCCCAGACCTTGTAGTTGTATGGCCGCATGAAGAGGTCGGCAATACCAGTACCCATCATGCGGACGATCCACTCATCGAAATCCTTGGGCTTGGTGTTGGTGACACGGGCCTCGATAGCAGCATCGATCATGCCGTCAATGCACTTCACCTGCTCCTCCTTGGGCAGCATGGAGATGTTGTTCTGGAAGGGGTAGGGGACCCATTGTTCCTGGCAGCGAACGTAGGAGATACGCTCGTGGGTGTACCAATCCTCCTCCTTGGGGAGGGCCTCATTGATGCAGTCGTCGAAGTACTTGTAGTGGGAGAAGATAACGTGACCGCCGACATCGTAGAGCTGTGAACTAGGTTAGTGTTGACATTGACAATTGAGACCGAGTCGCAACTTACGAAACCTTCGGGGGTAACATCAGTGGAAGCCAAACCACCGGGGGTCTCGTTTGAGTCGATAATCATCCACGAGGGGCCATTCTGTATACTCAATTAGCTTTTTCGATTCCCGGATACCCCTCCCCCTTTTTTTTGTGCCCCTCTCCCACACAGTAAACAAGCAGAGAAAGACTTACGAGCTGGTTCAAACGCTTGGCGGCACCCAAACCAGTTGGGCCAGCACCAATGACGAGAACGTCAACAGAACTGCGAAGCAATTGTTAGCGATGACGGATGTTGATGGGTGGACAAGTGCTTACATGTCGGGGTGGGTCATTCTGCCTTGTAGGAGGTCCTGAAAACTGGGGACTCGTTTGAATGTCTTGCGGGCGACGTTCAGCATAGAAGCACAGCTGCAGGAATCTGCAGAAGATGAAGAGGGAATGGAGGGATAATAAAGAGCAAAGAAGCGGAGGAACCAAAGAAGAAGGGGAAGTGGGAGGACAACGTGACCGGCCAAGCTAAGGGTATCTAGACGCACCTGGGTTTGTGGGTTAAACGGATCCGGTGGAGACGACGTGCCTGTTTCAGCTTTACTGATTCGTATTGGGATTGATATTGATATTGATTTCTGATTTGTTATGATTTGTTATTCCCTGTTTTTATTATGGCTTAATTTCCTTTTTTTTTTTCTTTTTAACCTCACATCCAGGCCCTCCCGAGGCCCTATCACATCGATAAGCTTAATTACAATTACAATAATGTACTCAGGGGGAGGCAGTGCTGCAGGGCTCAATCTTAAGAGGCAAGTAATCTGGAGTAAAAGAACGCGTAAGGCAATCTCATCTCATCACGCTGTAATAAGGACCCTGGTTAAGATTGAACACATCACATTTAGCGCAAAGCCGTTATTGGTCTTAAGCTTATCATGATACCTCCAAAAGCAGGGACCTGGAGTGCATGGAATCTGCATTTACTTTTCGCATGCGGGTGAGTCGATATTAGAATTCCCCTAGTGGGCATTGGATAGCATTCAGTATCTCCCCTCTGGAATGCCCGTTATCATATCAATCCCAGATTAGAACATTATTCTAGAAGAATTAAAAAAAAAGGAAAAAGGGAAAAAGGGGCGATATGGATAGGGGGCAACCATTGAATCTCGATCAAATGTGGCCGGGCTAAAAACGCCACCGATGTAGGCATTGGTACATTGTTGGCTGTGGTTAAATTAGGACGCCAATATTGCTTTGGTACTCCGTAGTTTGTATGTTGTATGGACCTCCATCAAGGGTGATGCTGGACCAAACGAGGCTATCTTGAACTTATTATTAAAGATGGTGATCCATGTTTCATCACATCGATTTCCCCGTGTATACATTGTACCACGATGTACGGAGTACACCAGACACTGTCCCTGTGTCTCACATGCATCAAATAGCCAATACAATAGGACCGTCCTAAAAGGAAACACCTTGAATCCTCCCGGAGCAACATCCGCAGAGTTGATCGTCCCATCTGGCGGTCTCGATGAGAAGCGAAATTTGCGAAATGCCAGCATCTGGTTCCACTGATTGTCACTCCTAAGAAAGTAATACAAACAACCGATCCCATTGATCGCCCCCTTGACGAACAACTTCTTGAACCAGCAAACACCGCCAATTGCCAATTGCCAATTGCCGCTTGAAACACTAACTCCCGTTAACACCAAAAGCTTAAGGGTCTCCTCCCCCCACCACCACTGGTCCAAGCACAATATGCTTGTGGGGGGCTGGGAGTCCCCTGATTGCGTCAGACAGAGGGCGGATCGCCGCATTCTCCACCCGTAAGGGACCAGATGGACCAGAGGGTCACTGAACGCGGGTTCTGGTGGGCCTTGGCTAACAGCTGCTTGCGTAATGCCCTACTATTAATTTGGATCTGCGCTGTTTCGGGTTTGAATTTCAAACCCGTTGATTTAGGACATTCCGAGAGTGCCGATGGTTTCGTCGATGTCAGACATACCTATATAGATATTCACATGAGTTAGGATGGGAATCTGATTGAGATTAAGGATAAGAGTGTTGGTTAGGGCCAGTGGATCCCATGACTAGGCTGGCCTGATTGGTGGTTATTTCAGGGAAAAGGGGAGTTGGAGACTGTCGCCACGAGCAAATCCATGGCCTCACAAATTAAAACTAAGAGCTAGTAAAGTACAAGTGGTATTGGTTCTGGTATAGCAGGTATACAAACGAAACCACTACGTAACAGTAGAAATTATGAGCGAAGAGTATAGGTGGCCTTAGCAGAGCCGTAACCAAGGTCCGGAGTAATGGTAATTCATATACCAATCTTTCCATACATGTACAGACATTCATACACCAGCCTTCTCCTCTCACTTTCTGTTTGCGGCGAGTGGATCTCTCTTGACCTGGTGTTTCTGTTCTTGTCGTTGCTGTTTTATGTTTGGCTTCTTGTCGATTTCCTTTACAATAACTGCCTTTTCTTCCCTTAATTTCTCCGTCAAACCCCCAAATTGAAGTTAATGTTTGGTGCCGAAAAAAATTACTCACGGAGTACGTACCCCATTCCATCCCTTCAACCTTCATCATCATTTCTTCATTCACGCTTTCTTCATCCACGCTCGTTTTTATTTATCGCTTTTTTTTTTGGTCTTTCTGTCGCACTCGTTAACCTTCGGAGCATTTTAGTGATCATTTCCTTCTAATTCCCTTTTCATCTTGCCCACTTTTCTCCGTGGCTTCCTCCGCATTTAGTCAAGGAAGCCTGTCCCGGCCACGACCTTTTGAATTTAAGCGCTTTTTGTCCGATCAATCTCAAATCTTTACAATGAGCGACGGCGAGAAGGTCCGCGCCTCTGGCGAGACTCCCCGGGAGCAGTCTTTGCCTACTGTCAACCCCGCAGCGGAGAAGACAGAGCAGCCGGGCATTACATTCCACCCCGCGGTCTATGTGACGTGAGCAACATCGGAAGGAACCAGACAGATCGGAGAACATTGCTGATTTCTTGATAGTACATGGATCACCTTGAGTTCCACTGTTATCCTGTTCAACAAGTACCTCCTCGACTATGCCAACTTCCGTAAGTCAGACCGGAGATACAATGCGAGGAAACTGGCACTAACCTCACACTGTGAATAGGTTTCCCGATCATCCTCACAACATGGCATCTGTCTTTCGCTACTATCATGACCCAAATCCTCGCTCGCACCACTACTGTCCTCGATGGCCGCAAGAAGGTCAAGATGACCGGCCGTGTCTACCTCCGCGCTATCGTCCCTATCGGTATAATGTTCAGTCTGAGCTTGATTTGCGGTAACATGACCTACCTCTACCTGAGCGTTGCCTTTATCCAAATGCTCAAGGCCACCACCCCTGTGGCTGTCCTCCTCGCAACCTGGGGTATGGGCATGGCTCCGGCCAACATGAAGGTCCTGGCCAACGTCTCCATCATCGTGATCGGTGTGATCATTGCCTCCTTCGGTGAGATCAAGTTCAACATGGTCGGTTTCCTGTTCCAGCTCGGTGGTATCGTTTTCGAGGCCACCCGTCTGGTCATGGTACAGGGTCTGCTCAGCTCCGCCGACTTTAAGATGGACCCCATGGTTTCTCTGTACTACTTCGCCCCCATCTGTGCTGTCATGAACGGTGTCGTTGCTCTGTTCTTGGAATTCCCCCACGTCACCATGGACCATGTCTACTCCGTTGGTATTTGGCTTCTAGTTCTCAATGCCGTTGTGGCTTTCCTGCTCAACGTCTCGGTCGTTTTCCTAGTAAGTGATACTTTAGCACTCCGCATCTTACTCCCGAGGGAAGCGTTACTAATACTCTCTACAGATTGGCAAGACCTCTTCCCTGGTCATGACTCTGTGCGGTGTCCTCAAGGATATCCTATTGGTTGCTGCCTCCATGTTCCTGTGGCAGACTCCCGTCACTGGCCTCCAGTTCTTCGGTTATTCTATTGCTCTACTGGGTCTTGTTTGGTACAAGCTTGGCGGCGACAAGATGCGCGAGTACACTTCGTCTGCCGGCCGTGCCTGGGCTGACTATGGCAACAACCGCCCTGCGCAGCGCAAGTTTGTCGTCTTTGGTGCTGCCGCTCTTATTTTCTTCCTCTTCGTTGGCTCTATGGCTCCCAGCTACGCCAATGACTCTGTTGACCGTGTCAAGGGCTACCTTGGCGGTGCTACTGCTGGTAATGCTTAAATGCACTTATCAGATCCTTGTCTTTCCGTCTCCTATAAATTGGAACACCGAAAACCCGGCCCAGTGTTTGAAGCCACAATAGTGCAGTTATGTAGCGGGTATCCGTTCCTTCCCGTCTCTCGATTACATGCAGAGACTGCCGCTCATACTTTTGTCTCTATGGGCCCCTGAGGTGCAATGGAGAAAGGAGGAGCTTGTTTTTGGCTGTTTTATTACCAATCTTTTCTTTTTCCAGCCACATTTCTGTGATGTATACAAAGACATGAAAGTGTTGTTGTTGGCAGTGTACTTTTTTTTTTTTTTTTTTTTCTACGAGCATTGATTGATGTTAAACTTGCACGAGCTCTGGTGTCGGTTTGCTTTGGACCTGATCTTGTGGTCATTGTGTTTTTTTTTTTTTTTTTTTCCCATCATGTCGTTACAGTATCTCAATAGACTTGAACCTTATAGGATCTCACATAATGCACGTGATGTTTTCCAGCACGTGATATATGTATGCGTCTTTTATGAATTTCACGTGATGTAATCCTCGCGGGCGACAGGTCCGTCCTCATAGGCCAATCGCCTCTGGGCTGGACCCATCCACCTCGACTCCACTTGAGGTCTTGGCTGCATGAGCCAATAGTACCCGTTAATAGCGCACGTATCATTACCGTTACGGCCGATCGGATAGCTGCTTTTTGCTGGTATATTACCGTTCGGCTTGGTACCTCCGCATTTCGCGCATCGATTCATCCACTTCTTCAGATCGTTCTTTCCTGTCTCACGCTCTTACCCTTGCTCTTACTCTTACTTCGCTCGACTTTCTTCCTTTTCCCCCATTTCGCCCATTTTTCTCCTCCCATTTTTCTCCTCCCAATTCTTTCTCTTTTCTTTCAATCCCACCTTTCTTCCTCATCTATATATATTCTTCTACTTACTTACCGAGATATCTTCCTCCTTTTACCTCTCTTACTTCCGTCTTTCCACAGGTGGTTGAAGCTTCTTGTGTCTTACTCACCTAATCTAACAGAACAGTTCCCTTTGGCTTAAACATAAGACGATACCGAGCAACAATGTCTCCAATGATTCTTAATCGCCTCTCGGACGGGCCGGTCACGGTCCTCTCTCCTCCCCGGGAACACGCCTTCGCTCAGTTCTCCCAGTCCTCTTTCCTCAACTCCCCAGGAAGCTTCAACAGCTATCCGACAAACACCAGCCCTGTCTTCGCAAACAATAGCTCTACACCGTCTGTCCCCTCGAGCTTCAATTTCTCGTCTGCTCCTGCGGTGCCCAAGCCCTCCCGCAAAAGATCCCGTGATGAGGCCACTTTTGAAGACGCCGTTGCTCCCAGCGCGCCTCTGGCACACCAGGCGGTGCCAGCTACCAAGGTCCGGCCTATCTATGGAGAAGGCATGGCTCTTTTAAACCCGCAGACTGGCCTTGCGATATCTGCCGAGAGTCAAACCGGCACATGGTATGAACAAGAGTCTGAGGCGCAACAGGCTGCTGCTGCACCTGTCCCCTCGCGGTCAAACGCGCTGCTTTCTGATGCTGCTGAAGTAAGCCGCAAGTCTCAGCGCCTTGATAAATCTGCACCAGGTCTGGACGATATTGCACTATCCTCGATCCGCCAACGCCTGGACGACCCTAGGTCCAACGATCAGCACCGCACTCTCAATGCAGGCCCTGCCCCGCCCGCTGAGCCCCTAGTAGATGATGCCACTCGTCTCCTAGGTATCGGCTGGCAGCGTGTCAACACTGACGGTGACATGGCGCCTGCTGTTCGTGGCTGGACCAAGTATATCGACAACCAATACTCGGCCCACCTGCGCGACTCCCAGATGCTTATGAAAAGCCGCGCTCTGAACGCCTATCTCGTGGCTGCCACTCCAACTTCTGGATCCTTGCCTGCCTTTTATCTCTTCACCGAAGACCTCACTCAAGGCCAGCTCGTTGCCTCCTCTTGGGAAGGATGTCTTCAAAACCTTCGTAGCTCCCCCATCATATTCGAGGGCTCTACTCCCCTCGGAGCTACCGACCGGCCTAGAGCACAGCCTGTCTCCTTCAACTCCATGGACACTGGCGTGCCACTTCTCCAACAAGCCCTGTCCAACAACCTGCAAGCATCGAGCCTCGACGAACTGAGCGGAGGCACGGAAATGGGAATGGAGATCGACTCGTAACTTCTTCCAAAAATGCATTCGATTTCTTTCAATCCCGTGCCATCCGACGACATCGACCGATCCGACCCGCCATGATGACTCGACATCCAACCAATCCGCGATCGATCTCGGTCTTCTTTCCGACTGTTCTATCATATTTTCTTTCCCTCTCTTCTTTCTTTTCCTCTCTTCTTTCTTTTTTTTTCAAAATTTCTCAAAATTTCTTCACTATTGCTTATTTAGTTATGAGACTCACGCTCCTGACTGACCCAGTCCGGCCCAATTCGGTTCCCGCCCGGTGGAGAGTTTGATGGTTTTGGGTGGTTTGCTTTCCTCTCTTTCATGGAAAATGGCGTCGTAATCTGGGAGTTCTTCAACATGCTTTTGACAACCGTTATTTATTTACGACTATCTATCTCATCAAATTAAAAAAGATTGAAATCATTTTGGCGTGAATACCGTAATTAACCCGAGGTCCTTGTATCATGCACCTATACGTACTAGTTATTAGCAGGAGAAAACCTACGCCTAAAAAATAACAAATTATCTAGAGCCAGCCCAGTTAATTTCGAATATGTATATTGGTTGTACGAACTATGATTGCTTCACTAGCATTCAGGAGGTACGCAGATGTAAATAAGTACATGTTGCTGGTCGTTGAATTCGCTACCAAGCCCACTTTGATAGCCCTGACGACAGCTCTTGACTTCCTAGGCCCGTTGTCGTTTGGCACCCAGCCAAGAGCGTCGGTACCTATTAGATTCCTCATCTCAGTCCATTCTTCTAGCTTCTCCTGTTAGCTCACCTGTTTATGTCAAGAATATCTGAAACCCCAAAATAGATGCTAAACTCAAAGGACCTGGTGCATTTCGCGGGCATTTTTAAGGAACCGAATACTTACCCTGCTCAGTCAAGCTACATTACCTAAAACAGGAACTATGATGTAACTAGTGGTGGCACGGTTGACCATTCAAGTAATATTTACCTACAATCATGGAATAGGTGAAGCGTAAATAGGTGGGAAAATGGAGGTGTGGTATAATGATAATGATCGTTACCATTGGTGAGCTAGAGCTTGATACTACTCAGGTTTAGCAAGTGCTTTGCTTAGAGCACGTCGAGGCAACCGAGCAAGGTGCCAATTGCAACCGTGAGATATTAATGTGATAATTAAATTCGGAAACCCAATGCTCATATGGGTGAAATAGGTACATGGTATCATCTCGAAGGCCGTAAAACAGAAGACAAAGAAAGCAAGTGGATGACGATCGCATCCTAACAACTCCAATCCACCAAAAGGACATATGACAAAATGCTCGTAAGGACTTCTGAGGTCTGCTTCCTCAGTCATCATCATCGCCATAGTCATAGTCACTTTCGTAATTGCCTGCAAATGCGTCGTCGACGCCATCATCCTTGTCGTCGTCATCATAGTCGTCCTCCTCATCATCATCTTCCTCAGGATCTGTCCCAAGCTTGTTCATGGGGCCATCCTTGGCTATGAGCGGCTTTGCGCCCTGAATGGTATCTGGAGCAGTGGACGGCGGAGTAGGTAGTGGTGCGGTAGAGCCAGGACGGATGGATTTGGCATCTGATGGCGTTGCACGCCGGGATCGTGTGGCTGCCTGCGGTTCGATGCTGGCGCTGCGCCGTGAGACGACGCTTTGGCTGCGACTTTGGCTTCGGCTCAGGCTTTGTGCCTTTGCATCTCCCCCTTCACCCCCATACAATGTGTCCAGAAGAGAGTAGTTAATCTTCTTACTGTAACCCCGGCGCTCAAGCATGCGACGTGTCGCCTCAGCCGGTGTCGAGGCACGGGAGCTGCGGCCATCTTCGCCCTCACCCTCCAGATAGGTAACATCTCCCAGGCGGCCACGGCGGCGTTTGCGTGGTTTGCGAGGTGTGCCCCCGCCGGTTGACTCCTCCAGGGCCCGCTTCAGGGCTTTTGCTTGTTGAGTGCGGAGGTACTCCTTGTTTTCTGTCACCCAGATGGACTCCTTAATCTCGACTTCAGCAGGCAAGAGCAGACAATTGGCGACTTCGGGGTCATCTTCAAACTCGGCAGCATCGATTTCAGTGCTGTCGGAGACGGTCGGCCGCGGCGGTTGGTCGGAGCCGACGCTCTCAATCATAGTTGATCCCTGGGCAAGCATAGACCGCATTTCATCTTCCAGCGCCGCTTCAGATGCAACCTGCTCGGCAGATGGTTCTGGCGTGGGTTGTCGCTTGCCCTTGCCCTTGGAATGGATCGGCTCGTTCCTGATATCTTCAACGACTTCATTCACTGCCTTGGAAATTATTGATGCACGTCGACCGAGGCTAGTTGCAGTCAAAGCCGGGTCGATAGGGAGACTGGGAATAGCGAAACCGTCGGCATCTATACGAGGCGGCTGCACTGATTCTGCTTCACTTTCCGTTGGGGAGTCATCATCTTCGAGTTCCGCCGCAGTCTCTGGCAACTTCTTGATACGACTTTTCCGACCTTCTCGCCCGCGAGTGAAGGATGGAGGATCGTGGGTGTTCTCCAATTGGACCGAACGGAATTGATCAACTGTTAATTCACCACTCTCGGTGGAACCGAACTCGTTCAAACGCTGGCTGATAGTAGTTTCCGTCACCTTGACGATATACACGACCTCACGCACGGTTCGGCGGAAGTTGTTCATTCGCGCGGCAAGAATCAGTGCGGCACCACAGAGACCAGCTGGGCGTCGACCGGTGGTCATCCAATCGCGGTTCATTCGCTGAACGATCCGGACTGCCTCCCCAGCAACCGCCATGAGAGAGGGTCCGAATTCCAGCTGCTTGGCGAAACGATAAATCAAACTTTCGGGGTCGATGGGGTTCATGAGAAAGACGTTGCCACCTAGGCGGAGTTCGTCGAGAAGTGCCTTGTATGTACGACCAAGCTTGAAGACGTTGATCATCAACACATCGGCAAAGTCAATCAGCATGACGGTATTGCCATTTTGGCGACGGCATGCAATATACAAACAGACCGCAGCTACCGTCTTTGTGCGACGACCTTGAATAAAATTGAGTCCCACGGCAAGCTTAAACACCTGACCAGCAGCTTTGGTCGCACTCTCCGGGATGGTCAAAGCCCGGGAAAGTTGAAGCATATACCGGTTTCCAGTTTGCTCGGTCATTTCCCGGCTCTCCATGGCGCCCCCGCGCTGGAAACCCGGACCATAGCTGCGTACGTGTGTCTGATCTTCTCCGACGAAAGATCCCTGCACAACAGCTGCACCAGACGAGGATTCCCCGAACGTGACTTCAGAGACGATGTTGTTCTCGCTGATAACTGTACCACAGCCCGTGCAGACCCTCACGCCTCCATCATCGACAATATGCGGAGCAGGGCATCCTGGGTTTGGACAATTAGATGTTTTCGGGTGTGTTGTCGGGCGGGGTGGTTGAGAGCGTCCAATAGCCGTTGGACGATTGATAGGAGTAGAGTTGGGGGGTTTTAGACTCGCCAGTCGTCCCATAGGAGGCCGGGGCCCGCGGGGAGGGATTGGACGCGCGCCGGATCTGGGTGCCGACATGTTGGTTAAAGCGAAAAGTAAGAGGTCAGAGATTGAATGTAGACAGGGGCACTCGATGGAGGCCGAGTCCTCACAGCCTCAGAATTCTTTAACTGGACGTCGCGCAGCCTCTTTTTTTTTTTTGTAGCGAAGGGTTTATCGACTGTCACGAGA